GGGGGTGGGGGGGGTGTAGTGGTAGTAGTAGTGGGGTGCCGGAGTTGTTGTTGACTACGCGTGCTTACCAAAGAGGAGCCACGAGAACCCGATTGACAAGAACCCGTACGGGCATCATCATCTTCATCTTCATCTTTATCTTCATCATCTTCATCCCCCACGCGGCAGTAGCTTTGGGACCGAGGCGTACCTACTAGCGCGAGTGTTTGTCGTATCATGCAAGTCGATGACCAGCGTAGTCTCGGGAAAATCATTTTTGAGATGTTTTTCGCCTGCTTTGTGAGCGAACAGCAGCTTAAGCCGTGTTTGCGTGTCCTCGGCATCTACTCGTAATGCTGTGTTAGGTGCGTAAAGTCTTGGCCATAGCTGCGCGCGCTCCTAATGTTGTTTACTCGTTTTTTTCCCTTGCGTGATTGAAGCGGTTCATGAGCCTTCGGGTTCATCTGAACCGTACGAGCTCGCTGAAGCTTTTGCAACATCCATCCATCCATCCATCCATCCATCCATCATCATCATTATCATCCGTAGTCTTTGCCGATGGGGTCGTTAACTATTGTTCCGAATGTCGTGAAAATTCTCGACAGGGCTTTCTGCGCCGTGCGCTTGGTCAGCAGGCCACCGTACGGGCGGCGCTGTACGCAGGACTGTCCGACATAATCTTGGTTGATCCAGGTTGGTCGGTTTGGCAGGTTGTCGTACCACTTCTGTTGGCAGTCCGTTTTTTTGCTAGTCCGTAGTCCTCTTTCCTGCGTGCGTTGGCTGTTGGCAGTTGACCGTTGCAGTGAGCAACGCGATGTCGTCGTCGCTAACCACCTCTGTGAATACAGTGAACAGTGAAAGGAGCAATAGAGTCGTTTACCTCTAGCGGTTGTGACCGTTGGCCTTTGGTCGTTGCGCCACATCATCACAGGCTCGCGGGATGTGGTTCTGGAGCTGGTGGCTCCCCAGTTTTATCGCTACTTGACAGACGGTGCGGCCATGCCGCCATTGCAAGTCAAGGTACGCGTGTGTGTGTATGTGTATGTGTGCCGGTGTGTGTTTGTGCGTGTGTGTGTGTGTTTCCTTCCCCTCCTCCTCCCATTCCCCTCTCAGCTTGACTTATTACCCGTACCCATGGTACAGGTGCTCAACGATCCCAACACCACTTCCCTACCGCTTAAGACCCAAACAACTGCTTAGCACTCTTTAGCATTCCTTCCCGTTCCATTTTCCCCAATTTCCAATTTTCATCAACCAAAAACAGTTGCTAGTTGGCGGAGGCAACGGCGCAGAGCCGGTAGTCCTCCTGGAGCCACTGCCGGCGCTGCTGGCATGTGTACGGCGGCTGGTGGCTTTGTGCCGGGACCCGTGGGTCAGTGACGACGACGGCGGCCCTGGGGGCGTCGGTGGCGTACGGCAGCACGGTCTGGGGGTGCTGGTGGATGATGATGAGGATAATGGAGGGGGTAATGCCGGGGGGAAGGATGTGGTTATGGTAGTTGATGACGAGTACGACGATGCGGAGGGCGCAGAGGGAGCTCAGCTGACCGATCTCGCAATACGGGTGGGTTGGGGTTGGGGTTTGGGCGGGTGTGTATTTGGGTATGTTTCGTTTACGAAGTGAGCCTCGAGAAGGCGGTATGTTGTGTGTATGTGTGTGTCTGTGTGTCTGTGTGTGTCTGTGTGTGTCTGTGTGTGTGCGTGTCTGTGTGTGCCTATGTGTGTGTGTGCGTGTCTGTGTGTGCCTATGTGTGTGTGTGTGTGTGTGTGTGTGTCCATGCATGAGCGTACTTTTGGTGTTATTGGGTGCCAGCGTGCAGTTATGCAGACTGCCTTGTTAGATATTAGCAGCTGACCCTGTCGATATCACTGCATGGCCTGGGTTTACCTTCTAACCCCTCCTCTACTGTCATGTCATGCCATGTTCTGCTTGTAGAGTCTGGTGCGGGCCTGGGACAGTTTTGCCCGGCGCCTGATTCGCTGCGAGGCCGAACACTTCGACCTCAACTGCGCCGCCGACCTAAACCCAGCCACTGCCAGCGGCGCCGCCAAGCAGCTGCAGGTGGGAGGGGGGTGTTGTGGTCGGGGGGGGCAGGAAAGACGAACCACGAGGGAGAGGGGCGTTAGACGGCTCCTTTGAAGGGCTTCCCCCTCCTAGCCAACCTTGGCCCCTTGTATTATGAGTGTGTTGGGTGTCTATGGATGCGTACATGCAAACGTACATGCAAACGTACATGCAAACGTACTTGCAAACATACATGCAAACGTACTTGCAAACGTACTTGCAAACGTATGAGTTCATGATGTGTGTGTGCACATGTGCCCATGAGTGCATGTGCTGGCCGCCGAAAAGGCCTCTCGAGATGGTGGGGAAGCTGCTCCAGCATGCATATGTATTAGATGGTGTTTGCTGTACTGTACGACAAGTACTATACAGTGCCTACGAATGCCTACGATGAGCGCCCTGTCCATCTGGTTTCGAGTACCTCACCCCCAGTTCCTTCCTCCTTGGGTGCTCCCCCAGGCTTGCTGCCTACTGGGTGCAGTGGAGGTGGTGATGGAGGAGCTGGTCACTATTGCCACCGGTAGGCGGGGGTGCGCGTGTGTGTGTGTAGGAATGTATGTGTGTCTGTAGGAGTGTTACAGAGTGAATGGCTTCTGGGCATTGCATACTCTTGCGTGTATTGGGGGGATGGAGATATTTCTGTTTGATATCTTAGTTTGGCTGGATGTATTGACCTGAAATTGGTGAATAATAGGTTTCTCAGATTCTAGTCGTAATATACCTGCCTGGTGCAGTGTCCAGAACTTGTGGTGCAGGGTCAGGCCAACATTCATCACTTTCGTTTCTACGTTTGATATAACAGATAACTGTCATCTAAAATCCCAAAATTGACTTTATTATATTTCCATGTCAAGTTCTCAATAAGCCTTTCTAACTTTAAATTCCTAAAACTTCGGATGAGGACCAACGTTAGGGGTGCGGGGAGGGGATCGTGTTGTTGGAGGGAATAGGAGTGTACATGTATGTGTGTATATGCTGCGTATTTATAACATAGTAATATGTCATAAACTCAGATGCACACTCAAATATTAACCCCTTATCCGACTGTTCAAAACAAACTTTTCTACACACACATACATACGTACATACATAACGCACCAACGCCGCTGCCTCCGAGCAGGACCACGCGGCCCTGAAACCGCCGTACGTACCGGCGAACGCCTCGCCCGGGCCTTCGAGCTCCACTGTCGAGTGTACGACCTCGCGCGGGAAGCCAAGGCGCCAAGTAAGGCTCTTGGAGTGCACCATTGACTTTGGGCCTGGCGGGAAAAATGATGGGGCTAAGACCGGCTTGACTGCGGACATTCCCGCCGCCGAATCGGCGGACAAACGTTGCTATGGCTCCTGCGGTAAATAATCCGGCGCGATATAAATTCTTCTCTCTCGCCCTCCCCCCGGCGCCCCCTGGTATCTGCTTAAATCGTCAGTGGTTCGTCTTACTCCCCAGGCTGGATAATTCCTCCCAGGCTGAGCCATAGCCCTAATAGCCCTACATTTCAATGGAATCCCAAACCCCCTAAAACCATTTCAATGGAATCCCAAACCCCCTATCTGGCCGTGCCTGTTTCCCCCTCCCTCTCCTCCTCGTCCTCCTCCATTACTGGATCGAACACAGGCGGCTCCAGAACCAAGCAGGCCGCAACTGAGGTACGGCATTTCCTTACTACACACTGTACATCACCGGCACCAGCGGCACCTAAACATAGCGGCATAGCACACGCAAGCGCCGTTCATCACCCTCCTCACCGACCCGCCAACATCTTCTCACCATTCTCTCCCCCCTTCCCTCCCGCCACAAACCCTAAATCCCACATCCACAACCAGACCGCAGTCGGCAGCGGCGGCGATGGATCCAACGGCGGCGCCACCGGCACCGCCACCGCCATCGGCGGCACCGCGCCGCAATGCCCCGGCGGCGGCGGCGGCGGCGGCACTGCCGCCGGCTCCTTGAAGCGTCCTCGCGACGCCGCCAACTTGAAGTGCGCCGACCTTATCCCCGTGGACCAGCGCCCGTCCGCCATGTCGTCCTCTTGCCTGGCTAAGCTGTGTAGCGGAGTGCTGAGGGACGGACTGGCGGCGGCACCGCTGACGGCTTCGGCGGCGGCGGCGGCAGTGGACGCGGTACGGCTGCATCAGGCTGTAGCGATGTTGGGTTGGGACGGGAGGGGAGGGGAGGGGAGGGGCGCCTCCATGCCCTTCCTTCTATTCCCCTCGAGGGTTTATCGGATTACCTTGACTCAATCCCGGTTACTCAATCCCGGTTGGTGTTGGCATCCAACCGGCATAGTGGCATAGTGTCCCATAGCCGTGGAGCAGAACGGGGACCCCCCCACCTAGGAGGGGGGGGATAAATCTTAGTGGACCTTCCTCCTCTCCGGTCGGGTGTATTCCCCTACCGGGGTATTAGCTTCAATCGTCGGATGGTTCGTACTCACCTCCGGTCTCCCTGCCTGCCCCACTGCCTGCAGGACACCGGCCCCAGCGCACACACCCGCCTGGCCCGCAGCGCCGTCTTCCAGGCCTTCGTCCTGCGTAGCTGTTTGAACTGCGTGAGGGCGGCTGCGGCCACAACGAGTGGGGCGCTGGCGGACGCGCTGGTGGAGTGTGCGGCGCGGCGGCTGGGCCGTGCGGCGGCGCGGGAGGCAGCGGCGGGGGTGGTGGCGACTGGGTCGGGAGCGCAATGTGCTGGCGGCAGCAGTGGCGGTGGTGGTAGTGGTAGTGATGGCGGTGAGTTTGGCGGTGGCGGCCTCGGCGGTGGCGATGGACCTGAGGCGCCGTGGAAGCCGCTGGCCCGACCACTGGCGCATCTATGTCAGGTACGGAGGTGAGGGCTGGGAGCTGAGGGCTGCTTCGTGACGGGTGTCGTAAAAAAGTTCTCTTTTAGCAGGGTTGAGGAACAGGAAATGGATTTGGAGGGAAAGGGTCCAAAAGAAGAATCGTCGCCGTAATTAGGCGAGTTAGGGAGTAAAACATGTTCTGGGGACTATGGCGAGGAATTTAAGTTAATCTTAAATATAATTTATTCTTTTTAGGGAAAAGAACTATTTGTTGCTTGTTGCTCCTGTCGAGGGAGAGGATACCTCTGGTGACCCGCCACACCACCTTCGAGTGTCGTACTCCTAGTCGTACTCCTAGTCGTACTCCTAGTCGTACTCCTATCTTCTGGTGTTCAAAAACCTCGTGTGGGTCGTTATTCTGGCTCTTTAACCCTTCCTCCCCCTTTCGCCACCCACCGCCGCCGTAACAACCCCTGCGACGTTTTTTCCACCTCGCCCTCCGAACCACCACTAAAAACTAAAAAAATGGATCGTAAGACGGTGTTAGCAACCTGGTCGGGAGCGGCCAAGCGGCCCGCGGGGGGACGTCGTGGCGCCGCCGGCACCGGCGGTGGCGGCCCCGCTGCCGCCGCGGCGGCGGCCGCAGCGCGCCGCGAGGCGGCGGCGGCGGACTCCCTCGCGGCGCTGGCGGTGTCCTGCATGGGGGAGTTGTTGTCCGCCGCGGCTGCACTCGGCGGCCTGGAGGCGGTGGCCTGGGTGCTGGGAGGACTGCCCATACATTCCCAAGACACGCAGGTAGTTCGGCAGGGCTGGCGGAACGACAGAGCGTCTATTGCGGCCCCTCGGCTATCCATGCCACGTCACGGCACAGCAGAAGCGAGGGGTCTCACGCCGTTAACCAACGGCTGTTGCCGCACATTTTGCTTGTATGGCAATTTCACTCGGGGAAAAACCCAAATCCCAAGCTGAAAATTGGTCCCACATGACGTTCGTCGAGAGATCTGGTTAGGGCTCTTTCGGTAGCGGTGGTAGTGGTGGTGGTCATGGTGCTGCTGCTGCTGCTAATGGTGATGATGATGATGATGATGTGAAAACGTCCACAGTTTCCCTCCGACATGCGGACAGCTGTTCCTGTCAGCCGCTGCCTTTTTTGGGGGTCTCGTTGTTTTTTATTGGAGACTTATTGGAGATTTTTTGCAATGGAACGAGGGTACGGCACAGCGGATGTTGGTAGCTGGTGTTGAAAGCGGTGGTGGCGACAAGTAGGCTGCGGACTTGGCGACTCCTTTCATCCGCATCCTCCCTCCCCGCACAGCTGTGCACAAAACCCCTTTTCAACCAACTCTCCCCCCCCCCACACACACACCATTTTCCCTATCCCCCCTGTCCTGCGAAGACACGATGGACTATTCCCCGCCCCCCAAAACCCGTTTCTGAGCCGCATGCAATGTAGTGCCGCAGTGTATTTGACTGTCATGTGTTGTACGGCTCATACGGCACGTACAGGCACAGGTGGACGAGCGAGACCTATCCCCTGAGGACATCGTATTGGCCCGTCTGCCTCACTTCGCTGACATGCTGGCTCGCCTCATGTCCACCAGCAGCTTCAAGGTGGGCCGGTTTTATTTCGGTTTTTACCTTGGCAGGGTTGGGTTTGGGTTTTAGCGGAGGGAGGGTGGACTCCTGACACGACACATGTTTTGGGACCTTGGCCATCCACATCTTGCGCTACATGACCCCGTGTGTGTGTGTGGGGGGGGGGAGATGACCCCCACATCCCACTTCGAACACCTCACGCCCCCATGACTGTGACCCACGGGTCACAGGAGGCCACTTCGCTGGTGGAAGTGGTGGTGGCGGTGGCGAGGATGCTGCCACTGTCGGCTCGGCGACAGGTCAGCGACACGTGCTGGGAGCTGACGCACCAGGTGTGCATGTGGAGGGGGGGAGGGGGGAGGGGTGCAGCTTTGGGGTGGTTATGGATGTGGTACGCGGGTGTGGGGGAACGGTGCGGGGAGGCGCGGAGACGGGGTTGGTAGTTTTAGTATAATATAATGCGGGGTGTGTGTCCCGTTGGTAGTTGGGTTTTAGGGGTTTTCCCTGGGTTTCGGCAACGATTGGGGGGTGGGAGCGGCCGCGTTGCTCCAGCGTCATTTTCTTACCTTACATCTTTCCTAGCTTTGTAAGTATTAAGGTCCGAGTTGAGGTCAGCGCAACTCGGGCTCTTTCTATCCCACCAGACCCCCATGGCCGCGTCCTCAGCTTCCCACTACAGCCGCTTCTTTGACCTCGCCGCTCGCTCTAATCGCGCCCTAGCTCTCATCCCTTGCTTGGGGTCGCAACATTCGCAAGCCTTTCCATGTACTACGAAATGCAACCGAGTTAGCCGCAGCTAACACCAACCGAATTCCAACTGATTTATTTTTTCTTCCCCACCTTAGACTGAGCCGCAGGTGACCCACGCGGGATTGGTGCGGGCGCTGGTGGCGGCTTACGTGACGTTACGAGGTGTGTATTCGTGTGTATGGTGATAATGGTGATGATGATGATGATGATGATCGCTTCTCTTCATCTCCGTAGAGACAATCGTACGATGCAAGCAAACTCAATTATGAACCTCGTTCCGTTGTTCAAGAGTTCAAAATCTGCGTTGTCCGCTTCCGTTATGTGAAGTACTCAACCACATCGACCCCACAGAGCGACCTCTACCGGTCCAAACCCCCCCCTCTCTGAACCGCTCCCATCTTTTACGCCTTTAAATCCGTATCCCCGGGGGCTGTATCGCCTAATCAGGCAAGTCTGAGATGGAGGCTCTGCTGGCCGTCGCAAATAACGTGCAGGAGGTGGTGGGCAAGGCGGGGCGCGAGACGCAGGAGGAGGTGAGCATGAGCAGAAAGAGGCAGAAGAAAGATACATATATCAGGTATATAAACTCTTTTCTCTGGGTCCTTAAAAAGAGCAGTGCGAGTGAAAAAAGCACCGTCGCACATCCAGCTTTCGTCAAGTTGCGCTTCTAGTGATCCTGTGTTAGTTACTCCGCCGCTGTTAACCAAACAGTTTGGCCCTCCTGTCCTGTCCGGTAGTCCGGCTACCACCTGAGGCGGAGCCCCCCGCTGACCTAAAATACCCCCTAAGACCGCACCCGGGGGAGAACATACCCCCAGGTCTTCCCCTCCAAATCTCCTTTCCCTCCCTCCCTAGCAGCAGCTTCACGCGTTCGTGGTTCGCCTACTCCCCCCCACCCCGGGGTCGGTTACAAAACTCGGACTTTTGACATCGGCAGTTATTCCTTGTTTCCTTGCATACGATTCCCCCCCTTGCTGGTTAAAGAAGGTATGTGTCCCTCTGATGCAGGTGACCGCCCCTGGAGCCCTCAATGAGGGCACCGCCCAGCTCGCGGCGCTGGAGGTGTTGCGGCTGCTGGAGGGGCACCTGGCGGAGGGGGAGGAGCTGCTGGCAGCTGTGGTGGTCAAGGGGGGAGCGGCAGGGGCCGCCTCGGCAGCTGCGGCTGCGGCTGCGGTGGCGGCGGTGGAAGGTGCGGACTGCGGGTTCTTAATTGGCAGTGAGTGGACTGTGGAGTGGGGGGTGGGGGTTTCTAGGTCTGGTTTGAAGAGAGCATGCGGGAGCGCGTGGGGGAGTAAGGGAACACCTTCCTAAAACCGGCATGGCCCCCATTTGATCTGCCTTTATGCACCTTCCCCTGCTCAGCCCAACTCCCGTTGAAGTCCAATCCACCACAATCCACCACAATCCAACCCGCAGGTGATGGAGCGAGTGGCAGCCGAGGCGGTCGTAGTGGCGGTGCGGGCGGCGGAGCGGGTGTTGCACGGGGCGGCAGCACCGCGGGCGCTGGTGCAGCGGCAGCTCGCTGTGTCTCTCAGTTGGTTGAGGCGTTGTGTCGTCGTCTGTCTGAGGTGGTTGATGTGTTGCAGGTGGTGGTGCAGACACGGCTGGGCTACACGCAGGTAGGCGGGGGAGTGGGCGGGGCTGGGCGGGGCTGGGCGGGGCTGACTCCCCCTCGCCCTTGCCGGGTCTTTTCCTTCTACCGTAGCAGAACTAAAGATTTTACAAAATAAATAATTATTTGCATGCGGTAAAATGTTTTGGCAAAATTCAGAGTCTTTCTGTTTAGTTCCCGGGAGGGAATTCGGAGCGATGCCGTAAAATATACATGGCCCTTCACGCACAAAAGGCTTTTGGCACTACCTCTTATACTATTTTATACAGAATATTGTAACATATCACTATATCAACCTATTTCTGGCAGCAGCATGGGCAAGCGCAAGCTCACCAAACACCGCTTCATTGACAAGCTGCCGGCCATACCATACCATATACGGCAATGCTCTCGCGTCCTTCATCAATCATAAGAATTCTGCGGCTGCTACAGAATGGTGGATGTTTGGAGGCCGTGTCACGGTGGCTTGGCTTCCAGTTGGGGGTTTACAATTCGGAGATTCTTAGTTTGAGACGTGTCGCGATGATTCTCATTGCCCCTTATGCGTGAGAGGGAGGCGGGCAGTGGTGTTGCATGGTTGGGTAGCTTTGCGGGCCGGTAAAATCCCAGGAAATCATCCACAGTACCGTAAAATCTTGGCAAAATCCGCCAGCATGCGGTAAAATACTTCGTTCCGTAAAATATATTAAAATCCATAATTTTGCGGTAAAATCTTTATTTTGTAAAATCTTTAGTTCCGCTACGGTACTTACCGTTGGCCCGAACCTGCTCCCACTCCTATTCCTCCTCCCATCCCTCCTCCTATCCCTCCTCCTCCGGTCTTTGGACTCCTTACGCACTTTATGCACAGCTTTTTGGTCGCCAGTCGTCAGTTGTTGTTTTCCCTTCTTGACTGACTTTGTCCATAGTTCCCCTCCTCCTGTCCCTTCTTCTGCCCCTCCCGTCCCCTCTGCACTTGGCCCTGCCACCTCTGGTCCAGGTATTGGAGGTGCAGGTGGAGGTGCTGGTGAAGGTGTACCGGCTGCTGGGAGCGGTGGCCAAGGCGCATCTGCCACCCAAGGGTGAGGACCTTAGGCGCCGCTCGGGGGGATGGGCTTTGGGGCGGTGGCCGTAGCGGAGGAAGGAGGGAGACAGGACAACCGCTGATTTCATAGGGGCTGGTGGTCAGAGTTTGTGGAGGGTTGGACAGCTGGGGGTTGGGAGATCATATATGTAGGCAGAAAACGGTCAACTGCCAGTCTGAACGGGACGGACTCGCGGCTGCCGGCTATGTGTGTGCATGTGCGTGCGGGTGTGCTTGGTCTTGGGAGCACTGCTGCTGGTTTGGATGGGTACTGTTCCTGCTACTACTGCTTCTACTACTGCTGCTACTACTGCTGCTACTCCTGCTACTCCTGCTGCTACTCCTGCTGCTACTCCTGCTACTGTGGCAGCACGGTCCGGATGGTAATCACCGAGATGGTGACTCCTCCATGCCGAACTGCTGCCACAACGCCCCGCCGCGACAGGTTCCTCTTCCGCCGCCTTCACTGCTGTCCTGCCGCCACCACCTCCTCCACTCAGCCGCTCCTTCCAGGACCTTGTTTCGCTGGTCCACCGCGGGCTGACCCCCCCCGTGTACGCCGCGGTGTCGGACGATCTGTCGGCCCCGGCCGGAGGGGAGGAGGGCGTCTCAACACGGCTGTCTCGCGCCAAGCTGAAGCGGGACGCCAAGGCATACTCACAGCTAGTTCACGCCGTGAGTGATGGAGGAATGTGTGGGCAGGAAGGATGGAGGGGTGGAAGTGTGCGTGGGAAGGGGTGCGCGGGTGTGCGGGGGGTTGGGCTTTTTGCGTGGAGGTGTGAAAGGATGGGGAGAAGGGGGCGTGTGAGGGGTGGGGCGTGGCGGTGGAAAGGGGTGAGAAAGGGTTTGCGAAGAAGATAATGGGATTGTGGATGCAATCCAGTCGCGAGCGGGCTCAGGAGGGGAGGAGGAGGAAAAGACCCAGACCAGAACCGGGGGGCTCAACCTAACTGGTAGCCAGCAGCAGGATACCGCCGACTGCCGACTGCCGACTGCGGACAGGCAGTGCTGGCAGTGCTGGCAGTGCTGGTAGTGCTGGCAGTGCTGGTAGTGCTGGCAGTGCTGGCAGTGCTGGGAGTGCTGGCAGTGCTGGCAGTGCTGGCAGTGCTGGCAGTGCTGGCAGTGCTGGCAGTGCTGGCAGTGCTGGCAGTGCTGGCAGTGCTGGCAGTGCTGGCAGTGCTGGCAGTGCTGGCAGTGCTGGCAGTGCTGGCAGTGCTGGCAGTGCTGGCAGTGCTGGCAGTGCTGGCAGTGCTGGCAGTGCTGGCAGTGCTGGCAGTGCTGGTAGTGCTGGCAGTGCTGGCAGTGCTGGCAGTGCTGGCAGTGCTGGCAGTGCTGGCAGTGCTGGCAGTGCTGGCAGTGCTGGCAGTGCTGGTAGTGGTGGTGGTGGTGGTGATAGTGAGCTCGGGCCCCTATTTCCCGCATTGCGTTCAGATTGAGGAGTGGGAGAAGCAGCTGCTGGCGCTGGAGAAGGCGTTTAAGGTGTGTTGGGGCAGCGGCGGGTTGAGCGAATGGACGGGTGGTGGGTGTAGTTGGCATGGGGGTCTTCAGTTTTCAAGGGGCCACCTCGTAAGGGTGGAGATAGGGGTACCGGATTGATTCCAGCCGCCCGGAATCACTGGCAGTGCCAAGCGTATCCCCAGGGCAGATGGGCGCGAGTACGTGTGTTGCAAAGGAAGTGAGCCGGAATGAACTGAGCCGGAAGGATATATATATATATCGTCGACCAAATCCTGACGTTTCGCACTACGCCCCTTCTAAATGACCTCTGTCGCGCCCTAACCTCCAAAAACCCTAGTGCACTCGTCCACAGTTCAAAACCTTCGAACCCTCATCCCTTAAGTCCCAGGTCCGTCCTTCGCACGACACCCTCCCATCCACCCATGCACCCCTCACTACACGCTATCTCCCGGCGCATATCCCTCCCCGACCTTACTACCCGACTACCCGACTACCCCCGACCCTACTACCCCCCCGACCCCCCCCCCGCTACTTGTCTAATTCTGGTTTCCGCTTCACTAGCAAGTGGTTCGTCTTACCTCCACTACCCGTTGGGAATCCCCCAAACAGGCACGCGGCGTCAACCTGATGAGGGGCGCTAAGCGCAGTACCAACCGGGATTTCCAGTTTGTGGGATCTGTTGGTGGAGGCGGCGGGGGACGAGGTGGGGGTGGGGGAGGCGGGCCGCAAGCGGATGCCGCCGCTGCTGCTGTTGCTGCTGGCGGGGCGGAGGCTCGCACTGACCGGCAGTGAGGCCGAGCGGTGGGAAGTGGAAGGGTGGTAAAGGAGGTGTGCTCCGGGAAGAGATGGAGGGGACGATGAAGGGGGCAGAAAAGGGACACGAAAGGTCAGGGGTTAACGGAGCGGCTTCTGGTTCTGCATGGCCCCGGCCCTGCCTTTCTGGCTTTCTTTTCCTGCCGATCTGCAAGAGGGCCCTGTTGCAAGCGTCGGGGTGGGATGAGGGCCTCTAAGGGTGGGGGGTCGTCCTGTTACATTGGCTTGTCGGGCTACCACGCACGCGCTGCCGAGGATGGCCCATGCTTTGGTCAAACTGGGCTGGTTGGGGTGTCATGCAAGGTTTACTTTTCCGGGCTTTCCTGTGTCCTAGGTGTGCTGGGAGCAAATTGCACACTCAGTACATACCGCCTACGCGCCGATTGGGTTCAGATCGCGGTTCTTGAAAGGGCAGATAAAATGGCTTTGGGCTCGGTTGGACTAAATTGAAGCTTTCGCAGGAGTGATCAGGGTATTACGAAGTTCTGTCTGATGTATTGGTGGTGAGGCTGGCGAGTTTGGCCGTGAATCGGGAGTGAAACCGAAGAAACTGTATGCATCTGCGGCAAAGCTTGAAATTGTTTACTGCGCCCGTAATCCTGAACGGAGTTTGGATGTGAACGTTTTAAGTTTGGGGTTGCGGATGCATCTTTGGGCCTGGCTCAAGCGACTTATGGGCCGTTGAAGTCCTACGAACATGAAAGCAGGAACGTACTAACCCATACCATCCTTGTAACGTATGTTGGACTTGCTATTTGTTTAGCGCCGTTGAAACCCGGCCCCGATGCCCCGATGAGTTGTAGGTTCAATTAGGATTGCATGTAGACAAGGACCGTGGGAACGGCCAAGATATGCACGGCTGGGGTCTATTGCGCATCCAAATACTACAAAAGATATCAGCTTTAGCGATTATTAGTTGTGCACCCAACAGCTCACTGCCCAATCAACAGCTCACTCCAGGAATGTGCAGGCCTCGATAATCGGTTTCAGCGCGAGCTCCTGCTGTTATAGTTCCTTATTATGATGTCCTGGCTGGCAGCAGCCTGGACAGAAGCGTTGTGTGTACGACGTGTCCAACTTTCGTGACGTGCGGGCCGAGCAAAACTTGCAAGCGCAACGGCGCACCGAAGTGAGCTAGTCGATGCCCTTGATTATACTGTGCTCGGGTGGAACGTTGCCTTGCTGAAAACCCTCTGTGACCAACGTGACTGTAATCGCTCATGGCTTTGCAGGACCTTGCAGGACTTTGCGCACAGGGTATCTGCTTCTGCATATAGACATGATTAATCCTTAACTTCTGGGTGCGATTTGCAATGCCCACAAGTAAAGAGCCGAGCCGGCGGAAAATTGTGAGGACCTTAGAAGCCGCGTTTCAAGGCCTACGATTCTCTCTAATTGAAAACACTTATAATACTAACTTCGATACTTGCTGTCAACTGCGGTTCGGCGCAAAACTCCGCAGGCCGTGGCGGATGACCCCGATGGCCCAGCGCCAGTCGCCGAGCCTGAGCCTGGCCCAAAGCGAATTGGCGAATCTTCAAATGGACCCGATCCAGGAGGTCTGGAAGGTCCTCTTCGCTCCATCAGCCCCAGGCCTCCGCTCGTCCGCCAGGAGACGAGCCCGGAGCGTGCCGCGGTGCCCCCCTCCGTGCGGTATGCTGATATGTTTCGGATGTACGACACTGACAATGACAATGCCATCGACCATGCCTCCATGGTCGCGGCCTTTGGCCAGCTGGGTCTCCTGAATGGCCTCAACCCGAAGCTTTTGGGTAAGGAGGTGCCGGAAGAGGGATTAGGGAAAGTGTTGCAGCACACGGACTTGGAACGGCGAAGATGCCCTATGACAGCTCCCCCGTTACCTAAGAAGGATGAAGAGGAACGTTTCTGCACCTGCCTGCTAGAGAAACAAAGAGGGCTTACGAGCTGGCTTGAAGGATAGCCCCGAGAGCTTATTATTGGGGCGTTAACAAAGGTTGTTTCTAAGCCCTCATCGCTCCTCCCGGATACGTTAAGGTCTTTTTACTACCTGATTTTACAAAGCTGCGCGCTTTACCCCGCTGTCCCCTTTCAGCTTTTATCCAATTTTTTGGACACCATGGTCCTCTCCCTCCGCAACCCTCCCAACCAGCACAAACACCCTGACCATTTACCCCCGCGCCACCCTGCACTTATCATCATCCTCCGCAGCCCAAGTTCTCGGCCTCAAAGGATCGGAGGCTGCCATCCGCGCCCGCATCTACCCACCACACGAGTTTCTCGCCCACTGCGAGCGACTCGCGCACTGGCAGGCCCGCCAGGCCCGAGAGCATCGCATCAAAGTGGCCTCCAAAGTCCCGGGCATCCCTCGAGGCGCGGAACGCGCTGAGCTGCTGCGTCGCGTGTATCACCGCTATGCGGTGACCCCCGGTATGGGCCGGTTGGTGACGGATGCGGATTACGCGGAGCCTAGGATGACGAGCATTCAGTTGCAGAAGGTGGTGCAAGACATGGGCCTTATGCAGCCGGCAGGTGAGGGGCGTCCGGGTGCTGAGGGGGGACTAAGGGGACGAACAGAAGGACATCGGGTTCATGATGGGGAGAAACGGAAACGGAAATGGAGGTTTACGAGCTGGTCAGTGAGTTCATTTGCCCCACCCTGAGCTTGCAGCCATTCTCGTGGTCCTTGACAGCTGGTGTGGATCTTACTGCAGCTAATGGTTTGGTCCACAACACTAGGTGTGCTCGTATTCAGCATTTAGCAACGTATTCTCGCCTCACGCATTCTTAAGGGAGCTTTTCCCTTGCAGCACTTTGTCAGCTGCCAAGCTACCAGCACAAACCGTCCTTACAACTTTCTTTATGCCGTACCGTACTGTACCGTACCGCACCTCACCTCCTGTCGCACTGTCGTAGAAAGACATGCTGTTATGGTTGCGCCGTGCACAATGCAGGCCCACTGAGCATTGTTTCTGTGGACCTGACGTTCACAAAGTGCAAGGCGCCAGGTACCCGAAAGATGGGGTATCCGCAATTTCTTAAAGCGCTAGCGGCGCTGGCGGAGCAGAGTGGGGCGGACGTGTGGGCAGCAGCCAATGCCTTGGGGCTCAAGCTGCGACCTGCAGAGCCCCCGCCCATGGTGCGTTTGCTTAATGGCTGCTATGACGGTGTCTGGGAGAGGTACACGGTGTTGCAGTAGAACAAGATCCCTTACGTCAGAATGCAGGCCCTGAAAAAGAGAATTTATGCGGTTTTAGGAGCGTATGCATGTATTCGTTTTAAGTGTGTGTTATCAATGAACTGATACTAGAGAGAGAGTGTGTGTGTGGGTTGGGGGGCGGGGAGTAACGGTTTGTGTCTGCTGAGCTTCCCGATGTCCCGCGCGCGCTCGTGTCTGCATGTGTGTGTGTGTGTGGAGGGGATGGGGCATTGGCATGGAAACATGGCTTACGTTTGTGCGTTGAGAGCACTTCTTCTGTGGCCCCATTTCCTTCGATTCCTCCAGTTCCCCCCTTTCGACCTTTCCCTTCATGAAGCTGATTGTGCGCCATTTTTTACTCTCGCCCTTCTTTCACCGTCTCTCCTTGCCATGGTCATCCGGCTCGTAGGAGGCCGTGTTTGGTACGGGCTACCGGTACGATGAAGATCCAGGCACGTATTACGCGGATCAGGAGCTTCCCGTGGATGAGTTTGGCACCGTGCAGGTGCTCCCCAAGCTGCCACAACAGCCATCGAGCTCGCCGGACCGCCCACTACTGCCTAAGCCACGCAACAAGGTATTACAACAGCAGCACAACAACAACAATCACCGAAATTATTACACGTACTGTGTTTTATAGCGTCACGTATACGATATGAAGATATAGGCTTTTCCAGGTTTAGACGTCCGTAGGGCCTAGCATGCCTATCGGGCATGGGTCACACGTAACGCCACAGATAACGCACGTCGGTGCTTTTGTGTTCGGGCTTTGGTTCATTACCTGCATCTGCCACAACACGGTTGCATCTATGCATCATCATCTTTACCGCGTTTATGAACCGCTCGACACCCCACATTGAGACGCCGTTGAGGCGGCATTGAGGCTCGACACTGTGTTCGCCTCCTGCTTGCTGCAGTATTACTCCCAGAAGGCGCTGGACCTTTCGGGAGGCGCTGGGGTTGCTGGCCCCGACGACGAGCCCGGTGTGACGACCTCACTTCCGAACGGCCTTGGCACCATGCTGGGAGGCCGTAGCCGGGGCCCCGGAGGGTTTCCTGGTGCCGGAGCGGCCGGCAGCGGTTTGTCTCCGCTTCCCCGGGAGGCCTTTGGCGCCGCATCTGAGACCGGAGAGGGTCTGATTAAAGAACCCCTGCTTGGGGGGGGAGCGGTGAGTGGGGTATAGAGATCTTTTGGGGTTTGGGGTTCTGTACTAACGTGTCCAATCGGGCCAGAATAAGTCTCCCACTCTGCAACAATTGATCAATCAATCAATCAATCAATCAATCAGAAATATACGTAGGTGTTGCTGTCCCGATCGTTTCCTTTCTGTTCCCCAGGGCGGCTCTGCGGGAGGTACTCTATCGGCGGCTCGTACCCTGAGCGGAATCGCAGCACTCCCTCAGGTGGGCATGTTGGTTTGTTGATTTGTTGGTTTGTTGATTTGTTGGTTTGTTGATTTCTGTTGTACTTAAGTGGCTTCGTTGTCACCTTGGGCTGTTTTCGGTAGATTGTGTCCGTTTTCGTGCAATGTGATTTGCTGCGAGTTCTTCTCTGCTGCCAGTTGTTCTTTTGCACATGGGACAGCATGGGGCAAGTTGCACCTACAAAACGATGAAAGCAGTGATGATGATGATGACACTGTGTAATTAAGCTCGGGGTGAAGGGAGTAGCGCGGGCGGCTGGGGACGGGGCAGAAGCGCGGCCTCTGTCAATCCAATTCACTCTTGGGCCCCAACCTCTGAGCCTTGCTGCCTTCCCCAGCCTCATCTCCAGCGTCTCCTCCGTCTCTTCCCTTTTTGTTTTTACGAATGCAGGGACAGGCCGTACTGGCCGCCTTCAAATCCGGCAGCGGCGGCAGTGATGCCTCGGTGGGTAAGCCCATCCGGGCCTTTGCGACACCGCCTAACGGCACCACGCTGGCGGGAGAGGTCGACGGTGTCACCGCCGCACAGATGCAGCAGAGAATGGAGGCGCTGGAGCGGCAGCTGCAGGTGTGCTGTACAGGATACAGGTTTTGCCTGCGTAGTATCTATGTAAAGAATCTTTGGCGGGGCGCACCGAGCGGCCATGCTTGTTTAGGCGCGCGTGTTTCTGTGTGCGTGAAGCGGTTTGCATATATGTTGTTAATCCGATAGCGGTGCTGCTGCATGTCACATCCATGTGGGTAAACGTTTAATGGTTCTTACTAGGAGTGCCGTCGTTTTGCTCTGTATGTCGAGCTTGGTGTAAAAGTATCAAGTCGTGGCTACAATTCCGACTTGAGCTTTGCGATACATATCTCATCTCTCGCCCAAATTCTTGTGGTCTTCGGGTCATTCCCGCAGGCTCAGGCAGCGGCTTTGGAGGAAGCTCGCGCTGCCGCAGCGGCAGCACAGCTTGCCGCCGCTGGCGGCAAGGGTGACGACGGCTTCCTTGAGGGGTCCGGGCCCAGTTCGCTGTTGGCTCGGCTGGCGGCGTGCGAGGCGGGCTTGGCGGCGGAGAAGGCGGCCGGAGCGCGGCGGGAGAAGGAGCTGGCAGCAGCTGCAGCGGCGGCAGCACGCCGTGACAAGGAGCTAGAGGAGCTTAAGGCCGCCACGGCGCGGCGGGATAAGGAGCTGGAAGATCAGCGGCAGCAGATGGAGCAGCTGAAGGGGGCGGCTATTGCGGCGGCAGCCGTCAAGGATGGCAGGGACGGGAAGGACGGCGCGACTGGTGAGAAGGGCGTGGTGGATTATGATCGCCTCGCTGCGTTGGAGCGTCGCGTGGCGGCCCTGGAAGCGGCCATGAAGGCAGCGGACGAGGGCGCGGCGGCGGTGCGCGCAGCGGCGGACGCGGCTGCTCAGCGAGCGGGGGAGATGGAGCTCGAGGTGGCGGCTGCAGCCGCTGCTGCGGCTGCGGCTGCGGCGGCAGCCGCCGCGGCTGTAAAAACGGCGCCAGCGTCAGCGACATCAGAAAATAACACGGTGGACGGTGCGGGTGTGCTGCCCGCGTCCTCGCCGGCAGTCGTGGAAACGGGGCCTCCTGCCACGGCCAGCAGCAACAGCTCACCGATTACCAATAACAGCCCATCCGCCTCGGATGACTTGTCCCGCATGGCCGCGTCACTTCCCGCAGCCCTGGCAGAGCTGGATAGGCGCATCCAGGAGCTGCAGAACCGCCCGGCCGAGGTGGGGGCCACGTCAGTGGCAGCAAACAAGGCGGGCAGTGGCAAGACTGGAGCGGCGACGTCACAGGCGGCCAAGTCGGTGGCAGCCGCGGCTGCGGAACTAGCGGCGGCGACAGGCGCCATTACCGCCCGCAACCGGCAGCTGGGCGACCAGGTCAAGGCGATGGAGGAGCAGCTGAAGCAGCTGCTGGCCAATGTGGCCAAGCTGTCAGAACAGGTATGATGAAGGCAGGTGGAGGGGTCTGCGGTGGGCGTCGGCAATCCATGAATGTTTGCTGACGCCTTTATTTCGGCCCTTGCCGCCACTACTTAGGACGCTGTTGGTGGAACGCGCTTTTTCTGTTGTGGCAAGATCGATATTTTACAAAATGGCTGTGCATGCTGCTCTTGGGGGAAACACGCTACCCATACCTACACCACCGATATGGATTGTGCACATCCAGCCGGTCAAGTTTCGACTCAAGATCTAGGTTCCCTCGTTCGTTTCCCTGTTCCCATGGTGTTAACTGTCCGGCCCGTCATACGAATTTCCTATTTTTCATACCGCAGGGCCCCGGAAAGGATGGCGCAGCGGGTGCAGTCGGCGCAGCAGGTTCTGTGGGTGCTGCAGGTGCCGTGGGTGCGGCAGGTGTGGTGGGTGCGACAGGCGCTACGGGTGCGAAAGGTGCGGTGGGTGCGACAGGCGCTGTGGGTGAGAGAGGTGTGGCCGGTGCTGCCGGCGCCAACGGCATGGCAGGCGCCAATAATGGTCCCACGGGCAGCGGCTCTCCTATCGAGCAGCAGAAGGCCGCTGCGGCCAAGGATGCTCGTGACGCGCTTCTGGCGGCTATACGCGGCGACATCAACGCCATCCAAGCGGCCCTGGGACAGATCCTGAAGAATGCAGCCCGCCCGGGCCGGGGCGGCCTGGGTGCGGGCGGCAGTGAAGATGTGGCCGCCCTCGCCGCCGCAGCAGCGGAGGACCGGGAGAAGCTGAAGCAGCTCCAGGATCTCGTGATGGCGCTACAGGACGATGCTGCAGCTGCCCGGGCAGCGGCAGAGGCCGCGGCGCAGCGAGCAGAGCAGATGGAAGTTGAAGTTGCAGCCGCCGCTGCCGCAGCGTCGGCGGCGGCGGCTGCCGCTGCAGCGGCAGTCGCGTCCGCCCCACCGGCGGAGGCCGAAGAAGAAAGCGAAGCCGCGAATGCGGAGGGCTCGCTATCCTCACCAACGGGAGCGGCAACAGCAGATCCCAAGGTCGCGGCTAGACCTGGAGTTGGGAAGGCTGGACCGGGCGGTAAGAAGGCCGCTGGATATGATGGCAGCGGTGGTGGCAATGCCAGTAGCTCATCAGCCGCCGTAGGTGGCCCATCCGCCTCGGATGACTTGTCCCGCATGGCCGCGTCACTTCCCGCAGCCCTGGCAGAGCTGGATAGGCGCATCCAGGAGCTGCAGAACCGCCCAGCAGAGGTGGTAGGGACAATTGGGTCGGGAACAGCGGCAGGTGGAGGTTCCAGTGGTGCCAGCGCGAATGCAGGCAAGGTGGATACCAAGGCAGGAGCGGCGCCATCGGCAGCGACGTCACAGGCGGCCAAGTCGGTGGCAGCCGCGGCTGCGGAGCTGGCGGCGGCGACTGGCGCCATTACCGCCCGCAACCGGCAGCTGGGCGACCAGGTCAAGGCGATGGAGGAGCAGCTGAAGCAGCTGCTGGCCAACGTAGCCAAGCTGCCAGAGCAGGTGAGCAATATCAGAGAAAGGGTTGCTTGAGGCCCTAGGTCTGGTAAAAGATCATGTCATCTCCCAACCTGGCATAGACCAAGGTGCGTTGTCGATCCGTGCCAAGGTCTAGGCTTGGAACCGCTGCGAGTGCCCGGTGCAAGACGCGTTGTATTTGCTTTTTGGCCGGAAACTTCAAATGCATTGGCTGAATGGGACGGAACATCCACTCCGTTGCAGGGTGAGAACAATGAAGGGACTGCCGGCACAATCAGTGATGTTGCTGGAGATGAAGGTGGCGCTGGTGCCGAGCCTGGAACCCCTGGACTCGGCGCACCCACAGCGTCGAGCCCTACTGGTAAGGCTGCACGTGCAACCGGAGGCAAAGGTACCAGAGGCGACGTGGACGGAAAGGCCAGTGCAACCGATCCCAACCGTATGACTGGAGCCAGCAGTGGCGCCGCAGGAGCCACTGCCGGCACCGAGCAGCAGAAGAAGGCAGCGGCGGCCAAGAATGCTCGTGACGCGCTTCTGGCGGCTATCCGCGGCGACATCAACGCTATACAAGCAGCGCTAGGACAGATCCTGAAGAATGCAGCCCGCAAGAGCCGGAGCGGTGTGGGTGTGGGCAGCGGCGAAGATGTGGCCGCCCTCGCCGCCGCAGCAGCTGAAGATAGGGAGAAGCTGCAGCAGCTCCAGGATCTCGTGGCGGCGCTACAGAAGGAGCTGGCCGAAAGCGGCGCAAAGGCTGGCGAGGCGCTGGACGCCGCTAAGAACGCCGAGGATGATGCTGCGGCTGCGCAGGTCACTGCTACAGCCGCTCTGGCAGCAGCTGCTGCCGGTAATGGCAACGGCGCAGGGGCCGGAAGGAGTGATGGAAAGGACGGGAGTGATGGCAAGGACGGCACGGTGGTGGCAGCAGTGGCGGCAGCGCCGCCAGTGGCCTCGGCCGCAGCGGCGCTTGCGGCAGCAGCGGAGCTTGAGGCGATGCGGGCAGCTCGCATGGCGGCAGATGCCGCAGCGAATGCGGCTAAGCTTGCAGCTGCGGAGGCCAACGCTGCCGTCAAGAAACTGGCGGCGGCAGCAGAGGTCGCCACCTCCGCTGGCGATGCTGCCAAGACTGCTGCGGTCAGAGCGGAGACTGCCGCAGCGGCGGCGACCGGTGCTGGCGATGCCGCAACTGCGGCGGTGTCCAGGGCCGTGACGGCGGCGGCAACGGTGATAAACACAGGCGAAGCCGCCAAGGCGGCGGCGGCGAGGGCCGAGGCTGCTGCGGAAGCGGCGGAGGACGCTGCTGCAAAGGCTGCTATGGTACCGGCAATGGACATCGTGAAGACGGCAGGGGAGGCCCCGGATGCTGTCTCCGTCGTGCCCGTCGACGAGATGAACGAGTTGCTTGTAAAGGCGGAGGCAGCTACGTCTGCCGCATTGGCTGCTGCAGAGGCAGCAAAGGCCGCCGCTGAGGCGGCGGTGGCGGCAACGGAGGCCGCCGCTAGCGCTACCGAAACTGCCAACGCCGCCGCTTCAGACGCCGACACCGCCGCTGCGGCAGCGACCACCGCCGGTTGCGCTGCGACTCTGGCGGCATCCGCCGCTAATGACGCTGCCGCCAACGCCAACGAGGCGGCCGCTAACGCCAGCCCCGGTTCATCCGCCGCCGCCGGTGCTGACGGAACCAATGGGACCTCCAACTTGGCTGCGCTGGAGCAGCGCCTGGCAGAGCTAACGGCACAGGTTGAAGGTTTGGCCGACAGGGTCGCCGAGGCACATGCTCAGGCGAGTGGGGCGTTGCGGGTTTGGCGACCTTTTGGCACAAGTTCATAGGCATTGCGTCGGTGCTCCCATGTTCTCTTCTCCGGATGCCATGCTTATGATTTCTTGCCTTCTATTCACCTAGCGTTATGCCCATCCTTGTATGCCGCTTACACTTTTCTCACCTAGGCCTACGGACACATAACCCACCCCGTTTCCTCTCGTCTGCCAGGCCGCGGATGCCGGTGCCGACGGTGACTCCGCCAGCCGCCATCCAGGCAGCCGCACCCTGAAGAGCGCCGACTCGGGTATCCAACTGGGTCGCGTTGAGGACCTGGATAACAAGGTACGCACCCTCTGCATGTGGGCAAGCCGCAACAAGGTAGTTTTAGCATGTATCCCTCGGACCTGTTGGCACGGGGACGCTTTGGAGGAGGGCAACGGCAAGAGGATGCCCGGCTTGGCTGGGTACCGTCCACGGCGGTGGAAAGCACGGGTGTCTCCTTTCCCCCTGGAAAACCGTCTCAAATGGCGTCTCCCTCTTGCAAGGGTGTGAACGCGGGGGATCTCACCTCGTAGCAGCCGCAGCCCCAACCCCAGCGCGTGTCACAGCTCGAGCGAGTCAAGCCGCCGCACCGAACGATTGAGGTTAGGCTTGGAACCATACGTGCAGCGACCCCGTCCAAAGTTTAGTTAGTGCTGACGATATCTCCCACCGGTGTTTCGTTTCCCTTCCTATGTCCTGTCTGGTCAGTCCGGCTCCCTACCTTGCCACGTCCATCTCACACGGTCCGCAGGTCAATGCTGTGGCGGAGCAAAATAACAATGCCCTGGCCCAGCTGCGGAGCCTGGCCGATAAGTTGGCAGCTTTGGAGGAACAGGTGGATGAGGCGAGGGAGGATGCGCTGGCGGCGAAAGCCAATGCCACTGCCGCTGCAGCTGGTTTGGCCGCTTTGGGGGCTGGTGAGCCTTCGGAGATGACAATCAAGCTAATTTCGGAGGTAGAGACCCGGTTAACAAAGGAGCTGGGCGAGGCGTTCAAGGTAGGCACGGGGGAGGATAAGGGAGGATGGAACTGCGTTGGCTGTGTATCGTGTGTCTATTGGAAAGGACATTGCTTGCTGTCGCCAGCTGAACGCGATATCCCCTGATGCCCTTCAAGGGCTTTTGGAAGTAAGATGGCTAGCTGTGCCTCAGTACTCTCGATGCAAACGATGATACAAATACTTGTTTCACATGCAATATCGCCAAGCTGAACTCGGAGCTTGGCCTGTGATCGTATACTCCACTGGTATATAGGTGCTTGTGTGCGAATCAACAGCTATGCGATCTGCTCTTGTTACACTTTATCCATCACGCCATAGTTATACGTGGACCATCTAAGACCTCTGTGAAGACAGGAAGACGATTCCCAGAAACAGGTTGGCTGTCGAAGAATGGTTCATATCATGTCAAAATTGGAACGACAGAAAATGCCCCGCTAACGTAATGAACAAGTAGGTTTGCCAACAAGAAACTAGGTTTTAGGATCTACTACAGTATTGACTAGGAACACGGTTGACCAAAGATATCCGCTATCCTAAGGTGCAGTGTAATACGGGTATGGGCAGATCCGGCCCAAAACCAAAAGCAGCGCGTTAAAGGATCAACGAAGATAGCAATTAATCACAGCCCGGCTCTAACGGCAATTTGACATCGCAGTGTCCACCACTGTACGAACGCGTTCATGCGCAATCCACGTTTCTTGAGATTTAATCAGCTAAAGAACCTTGAGCAACTAGGGAAGGCCGTGATGTGCGCAAGATATATATGGAGATCTAATGGGTCCTTGTTAGTTTGAGCGCGGATTGACAGTGGAGTAGGGAAAGAAGTTACCGTTGGCGGCCGAGCGCAGCCCGAGCGCCACCGCCACGGGTGGCCTTGTATGCTCACGAATCGCCACCAAAGAGCGTTGGGGGAAACCAAAACTCTCATGACCGAACACCGATTGAGCTCCAACCAAAAGGTGTCGTGTGGCTAATACGGCCACGCGCGGACCGGAACAGCTCCTAGAAGCTGACGCCACCACTTCATCGTTCGCCGCACTTTTCATCCTGTTTATTGCACTTTCCATTTCCGTTTACTCAAGAATATATGGCGCTTTCTCCCCACTGAAACACGGGCGTAACAGATGATAGACTCGCCATAATCACGCGGTGCGAATCTTGAGGTTAGCCGATTTCTCGCCGCCTGAACACTTCCCCGCGCCCCATTCTCCAGGAGCTTGTCGTCCAAGCCCAAGACTTGGACGAGATCCGGCAACGGCTGCAGGATTTGGAGGCAGCTGCGAAGGCCGCCGGGGCGGCGGCAGGAGCTGTTGGGGTGGTGGGCGCAGCGGGAGCCGACGCATCCGAGAAGGACACCTCGCATTTCGTGACGATGCCAGAGATGCAAGAAGTCCTGGTGCGTTGACAAGGGGCTTGTGGAGAGGGATATGGGGCAACGGGCCGGCGGCCTTGGGCTCTGCTTCGTAGGGCGTACTGCGAACTGGGACACGAACCGGGGGAGGGCGTGCATGGCAGTGCAAGAGGCAGGGGTTGGGTGGGGGACGGAAGTATGCTAATTGCATAAGATCAAGTGCCCAACGAGGTTCGATTGGTTCGTATTTGGTTACCCGGGAGGCAGGGCCCCGGGGGGGGGGTTGAACATGGCTGTCTGCATTGCCTGGAGTCGAGGCTGGACAAATCCTGGGGCGGCGGCCTGAGCGCTTTACCTGAGGGCGTTTACATGGGTTGTGTTTTGGATTTTACAGCCTCGACGCTCTTTGATGTTCCTCTTCTTAAATACTGGTGCTGGTCCTGAGCACCTTCGGCTCTGTCGCGCTGTCAAGTGCTCAAGTCCACATCTGCACATCTAGCTCTACCCGGGCACCTCACAACACTGCGGCTAGCGCTCCGAAAAGGGAGCCCAAAGGCCACTCAAAGGGAGCCCCAGCGGGAAAACCCAAAAATAACATAAATTACCTTTTCGTATATAGCTTTGACCCCTTTTCGTATAGATTGACGCCCCCTATGGGACTAAGACCAGCCTGCCAACAGCCCTGTTGCTACTGCTTTCGCCCTGCTGTTGCTGCTCTCGTTTCAGGATGTCATTGCGGAGAAGATGGAGGGACAGGCCAAGCAGCTCAAGACGTTGCACCGCATGTGCAATGACTTGCTAGGTGACATGCAGGTGGGTGCGCGGATGTGGGGGCCTGGCCTGTTTTGGGGAATTCCCGGCAATGCGGGGTTATTTTATTGCCAAGCCTTAACGCTCCCTCGACGGGTAGAAATTAATCTAGTGGAAGCAGAAACGCTCTCTGCCAAATTCTCGTTCTCTGTATCGGACTGCCGGTTTTCCTCTCTCTTCCCCCTTCCCTCTCTCTCACACACACACACGCACACATACGCATGAACACGATTTTGCATGTTTACCTTTTTGCATGTTTACCTGCCAGCTTGCTTGCGCTCCACCTAGTTTCTGACTTTTGTGTATTTATATCTTTGTTGGCTTGCTTACAAAATCCTCCTCTTCCCTGTGTGTACTGTTTCCCCAACTCCGTTCCCATCCGCAGGAGGCTGCTCGCGATGTGGGTCAGATGACGGTGCAGCTCAAGACACTGGAGGAGCACCACGAAAAGCTAGCGGCGGAGGTGGAGAGACTCAAGCGCGAGGGCGGGGTGGGCCCTGCCGGTGTGGACGGCGTGGACGGCGCCAATGGCACCAATAGGTTCACCTCGGCTCGCCGGGCTCTGCGCTCCGCACGGGCTGAACCCTCTCCGGGGGTGGTGCCGCCGGATGGCACCGAGCCGACGGGCGCTGCCTCCTGGGAGTCGCTGATGGCTGCGGACGAGGCGGCGCGGATGCGCGACTTGGAGCTAGATCAGGGGCTGCAGGAAGTCACGGTGAGTCGCTGGTTTCGGAGAGCCGTTGCTTATGTAAGACTCTGCTGCCTTGGGCACCGTACAATATCCGTACACAGAGTCTTATACAGCACAATGTTGTACTGAGGTGTTTGTCTCCCCTTTCCAGCCCCAAGGTCTTTTCTCGTCTCGCTGCCATTCCCAACCCAAACCTCTTTTGTTCCAACTCCTATCCAGGAACAATTGGAGGAGGCCAAGGAGGGATTCCATATCAAGCAGGAAGTACTGCAGCAGATTCTACTAAGGGTAAGATCTGATACCGACCCGCGGGTCGGTGGGTCCGTGAATATGTTTATCTTTTGCGAGATGACTCCCGCTGCGGCAAGGTTGACGAGGATGGCAGCTGTGAGGAGTGTACGACGATGGAAATGAGGGCCATAACCCCATGCTGCTTTATTTCTTTGCCCCCCTGGAGCCGCCACCTGGCTGTGGCTGTTTCTAGACTAGCTCACCGCTGATCAGTCCTGCTGCTGTCGTTCCACGATGTGGTCGTTTCGCCACGTGATGGTTAGTCACCACGTTGATTAGCGGTGCCGTGCCTTGTGTGACCTGCGCTATCGTGTGACCTGCGCACTGCAGATTGCACGGCAGGTGGACAAGCTCCAGAACCACATAAACCAGATGGACGAGGGCGAGGCGGAACGGCAGATGGTCACGCAGTTTCGAATTTCCAATGTGGGGGGTCTCCAAGCCACAGCGCTGAAGCTGCTTCAGACAGGCAGCAGGTCGGTCGGTGGGTCGGTCGGTGGGTGGGGGATTTAGGGTTTAGAGATACAGCTGTGAATGGGGGCAGGGATTGCAGCTGATGGGAAATGTGACTGGAGCTGTGTAACTTCTGGCGGCGGACAAGGCACTGCTGCAGTTGCATGGCGGGGCATTCGCCATGGTTATGAACTCTGTAACGGTCCTACCGTACAACAGCGAATAGTTGCAGGAGCATGTGTGTCTCTGTATGTTTGGGATCGCCAAATACGGATGTATTTGTGTCATGAAAAAGCAATTTCCCCCATGTCGGACTGAGGTATCTGAGCCAGCATACGCACCAACTTCTAGCCCTGTGCCTGAGCACCGTAGCTCAGCCCAAGCGCCTAAGTGCCGTCGCAGAGCGGAACTCCCCTACCGTCGCATCTCCTCTCCCCTAACGCCCATCCCTCGAACTCCCCCCGCCCTATACACACACACAAATCTTCACCCACCGTCACAGGCCGTCCTCACCGGCGGCCGTCGCCAAGATGCTCGCCAGCCGGAACGTCTCCCTGGACCGATCTGCAGCCGCCGAACTGGGCCTTATGGAAGATAAGCCAGGGGAGGTCCTGACCGCCGCCTCCATGGGGGCAGCTGCCGCCGCCGCCGCCGCTGCGCAACCCGCCGCCGCCGCCGCTAGCCCTGGCGCTGCGGCTCCTCCTGCTGAAGGGAAGTGAAACGGAGGCGATACGTTACTGTTGCTCTAGCGGCTCGCGTGGCCGTTGCTGGACTGCATGGATGAAAGGATGTACGGCTGTACGGCTGCAAAAATTGAATGCAGCAGGTTGAGAGGGTTGGGAAAATGGAGAGGTTTGGGGTTTGGGGCTTGTGTTGTGCTCGCACCCGTCCAATCAGGTGCGGGTGGCGGAGGGATGCACGAACGTTCCCGCGTTGGGTTCAAAAGGGGCCAAAACATTTGTTTAGCCAAAAGGGATTTTCCATATTTGCGGCTGACATGTTCGTACAGTCGTACTGCTATGTTTCCGATCATCCTTCAGTACTTTTGAGAGCCTTTTCAGCGGTCCAAGTATGGATGGGCTGCCGTACCGTACATACAATGTGAGTGTTTTGCATCACGTGCTAGCGATATGAGGATGTTTAATAGCGCTTGCGGCAAGTGTATAGACAGCTTTATGAACGTACATATCTCCTCCCCATTTTGGAGGGTTTTTTAAAACAATTAGCTTGACATAGTAGTTGTGGCTGCATGCGGGTGAGGCGGGTGCGATTACCTTCGTGCCTATCAATCTCCTTGTCCAGTCGCCGTGCCTTAGCCGTGCTTATATTTGAGTTGTTGCATATCAGTCATCATCATCCCCAAGCTGTCCATTACATGGTAAGAGCTTCAGCCTCCTGCACTAGACGCGTCTGCACCTCGGGTATAGGTTATTTGTGACCGGAGCCGACTGCAAAAACAAAAACAAGTCGTAGTACTAGTAGTAGTAGTAGTAGTAGTAGTAGTAGTAGTAGTAGTGGTGGTGGCGATTGGTTTCCGGACTTCCCTCTCGGCATGCTTCCTGCTTCCTGCACGTGCGCTTCTTCCCAACCCTAACCAGCAATCCCTCCCACGAACCGCTGTCACGATTGGTACTTTTCTTGCTTGCGATGTTGCGAGTACCTTACATAGTTCGGCTTGGCAGTCTGTTGCTTGAATTCCAACTCGCAAAAAATGTCGTTCCGTAATTTTACTTCGGTTCCCCTTTAGGGGACGAGCACTAAAGGGGATGAAGACGGTTACTCGGTTTAATTATGACCGAGCACGCAGGATGAATGTACGGCTGTCATGCTCCTCACGTGGGAAGCTACTCATGTCGTACCCATCAGTGTGTGTGTGTGTGTGTGTGTGTGAAGTGGTTGGGGTTGCGTGACCCCATACCTGTAGAACTCTCTACCCATACGAGCGAAAGGCCCAAAGGGCATGTACCCATGTACTGATGACTTGTCATCTCATCGCGCTCTTTTGTCGCCTTGGCGCGTGAAGCCCTTGCAATATGGCCGTTGCGATCTGCCGGTGTATGTTAGGATAAAAGATACTATGGAGTTGTGGCGTCGTAAGCGTGCTTGCAAGGACAGCGGCTGCAGTTTGGCAGTTTGGTTTTTTACTCGATTATGTGGGTTAACGACCGGATGATGTATGCTTTTCCCCCCCTCCATTTATCTATCCATCCCTCCTTGCTTATTATTCGGTAGCTTGCGCCCCCGCCAGGCGCGTGCTCGTGTGCCGTGGCATACGGTACGGGGTGTATACATCGGTCGGCGCATGCAAACGCGTCCTGCCGCAATGACTTCCGTGCCTTGTTGGTTCGCATCCTTTCCTGAGCAGGTGGTAGGGTGGGTGATGACTGGGCGTTCCTGGGGCCATGGAAAAAGCACGGGCCGGCAGAATGCAGAGCGGTTCTTTTTTGACCCCTTATTACTACTTGCTAGTTTGTTTCCCGCATCAGCTGCATGCGTCCTTTCTCTCGACTCCCCGAAACCCGGCAAGTTTATGTGTGTGTGTGTGCGCGTGTGCGTGTGTGTGTGTGTGTGCGCGTGTGCGTGTGCGTGTGTATGTGTGAAATCGTGAATCTGAAACCTAGGACCACAACGAGCCCGCGCGCTTCTTGCGTGCAGCAGCAGCATCCCTTCACCCGCCGGCCAGAGTTTCGCCAGCTGGGGGCTCCGCATCATCAGGCAAGTGTTCCAGTTTTGCAATCTGCCATGGTGGCCGCCCTCGGCACCATCCTACGAGGCGATATATACCAAGAGTAATACAGCTATAACAGAAAGGCAGTGGAACCGTGCGTGCGCGAAGATCTGCTGTTATGTATGGTCGCGCCGCGCTGCTACTGCTGCTGGCGTTGTCCTTGGCAGGAGTTGTCACAGCTCTGGCCGCACTGGGTCTCGCAGGGATGGGAAGATAGTTGATTGTCCCTTCCTTTCTGTTTGGCGGTATATATGGCTCTATTGCATCTAGGTCATCTGTACGTGTGAATAACTGCACTGTTTATATTAATGGTTGACGGTGAGATAGTGAGTGGCTGCGGGATAAGGAAAAACGAAATTGTGTCACTTTTATATGTTTTGAATAAAGTCGACATTATTTTCCTTCCGGGCGTTTCTTAGAAGCGCTGGTTTGGTATGATAGTTGGTTGTTGGTAGTTGGCAGGCGTTGTACATAGATGAACTGGTAAGCAAATGTTTAGACTGCAGTAATGGATACCCTGATGTACTTTGCATGCATGAAAAAAATAGGTGTCCAGATGCTGTGGCTGCCGTCGCGTTGGCATGTTCTCGTAACATGATTTTTGGATTAGTACTAACCCTTTAAAGATGTATTCCCAGTGCACGGTGCAAGGGAGTAAGTCTTCTGCAGTCAGCAGTTGCGGCTCCGAAGGGTAACCTGCGAGAGAGTTGAGTTTGCGAATTGCGGTGCCTCAGTTGGGATTCCTCACTACGCACATGCATACGTATGTAGGATGTAGGGGATATACATGAACACCTACCGCTCTGATGAACACAAACACAAATGAATATTGATAGAAGTGTTTTTTTAGGGAATTCCGGGGCTTACAACTGCTTCCAATGACTTTTAGCTTGCGGACGGAATATTCAGGACGGGCCGGCAAGCTCTAACAGTCGCTGCTTACGGCCAGCAGACGGTGTGCACGCTAGAAGGCGCACTCGTGAACAACAGATCATATAGCCCGAACGAACCAGGAGGCTCTGAGCAGCTCAGCTCAGAGCTAAGGAAACTAGCTACATGAAGGGAAAAATAGAATAATAATGGCGCCACTTTAATATAGGGAAAGGAACGAAACATTAAGTGAATCATATTGTGCCTTTACTCCGAATGCAGTCCAAGACATGTGCAAATCTTCAAAACCGCGGTATCCATGGTATTTACTTCCCATACCTGTACATATGTATGTATGCGCTACCAGTATATCTCCATACAATTTCCTGGATCAGACCTTACATGTCCAAAGGTACGTGCAAGTATCCACATGAACGGGATGATAAGGGGGTGCATGACGTTCGTCCTACCGCACATTCGGCACTACTTTGCCTCACCCGTCTGACCATGGGTCTGCCGACTGTAAACGGTAATCTATACCACAGAATATATACGTTTGATTTGATTTCCCATTTGACAAAGATTAAGACCCCGTAGTCTTTGGCTGAATCCTCCACAGCCGCATTTTGGCCCCCGGATACCTGTTACCCAGTACAAAAAGCTACGAATCCAGCTAGAACCTGTTGTTGCTCCAATTACTATCAAACTATGCCTCAAGTCTATTCATCTCTTCGCCGTCCGGCTGCGCATCTCCCGTAGACCACCCGTACTAACTGAAAATTGTGGCCGCGATAGCTTAGCTAAAAATTTTACGCCAGTAATAAAGCATATTTGGTTTTATCTTTAGTGTGTAATACGTACCAGCACCTGGGCTTTCTATCTATCGGTGTAGGCACCTTAGAGAACACGCTCTGCGGATGATGGCAAATTTACAACAAATCTAATGGATATTTAAGACTGTAATATACCTCTTCAGTAATGTACAATACGGGGTTGAGGCTTGACAGTAGTTCCCTGGGAGGCCGAAGCGACTCTCTGTTTTCCAGGGGTTTTGTGCGGCGTCTGTAGGTATGACAGACGAAAATGCAAGGATGTATTATGATCCTGAATCTGACCCTGCGGCGCCGGCTCAGGTACGTCTCACTTCGCGGCGTGCATGCTGCTTGCCTTGTGACTCCTTACATGCAATAGCTTAAACTCATTAGGCGATATGAGATTGGATACATTCATTGCCAAAATATATTTGGGTGCAGCTTAATTAGAAGCCTGCTTGGGGGTTACGTGGCGAAGCACCGATGGCAAAGCAAACAGCATCAGGGGCAGCATCCTGCGTAGAAGTCAAACACATTAGTCATCAATGTGGGAAATTTACCATTGCGTTTCACACCTGCTATTGAGCTGCGTAATTTGCCGCACTGCCATGTGCTGCCTAACCAGCCGTGCATATGCCGGTGCCACATGGTCAACGGGTGCATCCAATAATGCCCCAAACGCCCCCAGCAGGGCCTCCCAAGATTTCAAGGCGATGGAGACACCGACCTGCAAGAACTGGTCGAGGTGGTTGCCCAGCCCCAGCAGCGCAAGTCCACAGAAGTACCAGACGAAATCATAAGCGGCCCACAGCCTATCGCGGATGACAGTGATGAGCCCTTCCGGGGACAGCTAGACCGTGCTGTGAGCCGTTTAGGACCGGGTACGTACCAATGAAAACGTCGCTGTAACGGTCACCGATGCTGGCAGCGTCATCATCCATGCCAAACGCCCTATTATCCCCCCCCCAGCTCCGGGGCTCCGTACACCCTACCTGGCCACACCCGGCCGGACCGCCCGGGACCCTTTTCACTTGTGTAGCGCTCCTCCTGTTTCCCTTGTAAAGCAAAGCCTCCCACTCCCATCTGAACTGTGACTCGCCTTTGCTCCTTGTTTGCTTCCATTCCGGCTCCCCGCCCCGAAACCCTCAGTCCCAGGCCAACTTACTGAGTCGTCTCGCCGCATGAAGCCATCTGCGCCATCTGGGGACCAGCCAGGGCAGCGACCCGCGCCATCATCGTCATCTCCGCCCGCAGAGCTGCTGCTGCCGTCACCGTCACCGATAGTGGCACCGGAGCAACAGCCGTCCCAGCAACAACGCCCGTCGCCGCTCAAACAGAGAAGCGGCATTCCCCATGCGCCCCAGTCGACGTCACAAGCCTCCTTCCAGCCAACCCAGCCCGAAAGCCATCTCCATCACCGAACGCAGCCGCAGCAATCGCAGCAATGGCAGCAGGCACCCCCGCAGGCTTCGCTGCTGCCATCTGAGCAGCAGCAGCAGCAGCAGCACCAGCCACGACAACACCAATCGCAGCTGCAGCAGGAGCGTCATCAACCACTTCTGACTCGTGCAGCACCGCCAGCCAGCATCCAACATCTGCATGAGGAGTTGGATGATGAAGCGGAGACCTCGGAAGCCGAAGGGGAGGAGCAGGGCAGCGACTGGGGGGAGGATGGCCTGGACAACGATGTGGAGGCCGACGACGCCGTAGACTACAGCGGCTGGGTTCCCCCGTCCTCGAGTGTACCAATGGGGGAGATATCTGCTTCCGTCAATGCGCAAGCCGTCCGTGGTAAAGGCCACGGCAGCGGCAACGACGCTCCACGGTACGAACTGGTGCCGTTAGACTGGCAACTGCAACGTCAGCAGCCACAGCCGCGGCAGCGGCAGCAGCAGCAGCACATACAGCAGCAGCAGCAGCATCAGGCGCAAGGCCACGGGCAGAAGCGGGGTCAGCAGGGCCAACAACAACAACAACAACAGCAATCGCCGCCACAGCAGCAGCCGAGCGATGGTGAGTATGTCGCTGTGGGGTTTTGTGAGCATCTCGGGGGCCATGCCTCCTTTTGCGGCGCTCTTACCCTACCTCGGAGTTAGGGAGGGTGGAGTGCGCCGGATTGCTCACGGGGTTTATGGTGTGCCGTGGCATGGAAGGTCCTGGCAACCGCTGATGTTCTCTGTATGGTGATTTGTTCTGTCTGGTGAGCGTGACAGCTGAGCTTGTGGGACCATGTACCGGACAGAATTACCGGTAAAGCCGGTACAGAATTACCGGTAATGCCGGTACAGAATTACCGGTAAAGCCGGTACAGAATTACCGGTAAAGCCGGTACAGAATTACGGAGTCCACACCCTTACCTATGATCCTTCTGTTCTTCGCCCAATATTGTTGCTACTGCCGCTGTTGCCGCTACTGCCGCTGCTGCCGCTGCTGCCGCTACTGCCGCTGCTGCCGCTACTGCCGCTGCTGCCGCTGCTGCCGCTACTGCCGCTGCTGCCGCTACTGCCGCTGCTGCCGCTGCTGCCGCTACTGCCGCTGCTGCCGCTGCTGCCGCTGCCTAAGTGGGTGCAGGTGCGGGCTCCGCGGCAGCTGAAGCAGCGCAGAGAGCCGAGCTGCTGCGGTGCTTGTACGCCCGCTACGCCACTGCGCCAGGTCAGCCGCGCATCCTGACTGTCGCGGACTTTGCTGAGCCCCGCATGAGCGCCAGTCAGCTGCAGCGCCTGGTGACCGCTCTGGGGATCATGCAGCCCGCAGGTTGGTGCTGGCTGCGGGGTGTTGTGATGGGCTTTGGAAAGGGAAGGAGTATGGGGATCGTTGGCTGGGGTTTAGGCTGGGGTTTGGGGAGCTAGTTGTTGTGTGCCGTGCTGGTCTCTTGCCGGTTTGTGTGTGCACATGTGTGTGTTTAGGTTGGCATGGATGCTGCCGTCCTTTTCGATCCAGCTGATTACTTCCTGCGTTTCCCCTTTCCCACATATACACGCATACATCCATGCATTGATACATCGATACATCCATACATTTCCCCTCCATCGGTCCCCCCCATGCATTCCCCCCCTTCCGCAGGCCCGCTGAGCGTGGAGACCGTTGGTGCAGTGTACGCCCGCTGCCGGCCACCCGGTACCTCCAAACTCAATTTCCTGCTCTTTCTGCGGGCGCTTTCCGCTCTCCATCAGGAGGGCGGCAAGGTGGACGTGTGGGCGGCCGCCAGTGCGTTGGCGTTGCGGATCAAGCGCAAGCAACAGCAGCAACAGCAGCAACAGCGAAAGCAGTCGACGATGAACATGCGGACCACGTCCCCGTCGGCGAAGATGTCATATAAGTCACTGGTGCGTGGCTCGGATTGCATCACCGGAGGGGGCTGACTTGGTGATTGGCTGCTCTTGTGATTGTGGCGGTGTTGCTGAATTTGTGTTGGCAAGGGTGTATGTATGTCTGCAAGGGAGGCCCGTGTGGATGTGTCGTACGTTGTGTGAGTTGCTGGGGGTCATATCATGCCACGTTTGGAGAGCATTGCATCACCATCACCACCACGGCCATCACCATTACTGCACACACACACACACATACACACACACACTCTGTCGTCATGACATCGAGTCTGAGTCGCTGCTCTTCCGCTGCCGTTGCCGCTGCGGGTGAGGCCAGTATCTCTGCTGGTGTAGCTTACCTCGCCGTACCATGTCGTACCCTAGTTGTCCTACTACGCTCTGCAACGGCCCTTCAGCATTATTGAACACAATGAGGAGGATGCGTCCTGCCCTCTCCTTCCTCCCCTCACCTCCTCTATCACACACGCCCACTGTAACAACCACACACACGCACACATGTACACACACACACACGCATGGTTCTTAGACGCAGACGATTTCCCATTCTGATCTGCAATTGGTTCCTGGCGATGAATGAACGCAGCAGCGCGCGGTTAGCGCTTCCGTTGGGCTCAACGGCAGCGGGGCTGGTGGTGGCGGGGCCGGTGGCAGCAGCGCTACTATCGGGCTGCCTAGAGTCCACGGGGAGGATGTCGCCAGGCTGAGTGACTCGGAGGCGGCGGCGCCAGTGCTACTGCCGAGGCTGCCGGCAGTAGCCAGCGGGCACCTCCGCGGGAACACTGCTGCCGCTGCCGCGGGCGGCAGCGACGGCGGCGGCGCAGTTGCAGGCTACTACCCCCAGGTCCGTCGACACTGTCGACTGACCGTGTTAATGGAATTATTTGCCTTTATTAATGTTGTCGAATATAAGTAAGCCGCAACTAGAATTGTTTACGATGCGTCGTGTGATATCCAGGTTAGCTCGACATAGTTTTTCCCATGAGTCTTTAGGATATTTATCTATTTCGGACAGCCTTAGGCTGACCCCTGCACCCCCGCCTCGCGTGGGGCCCCCGGGGTTACACCTTTGGAGAGTACGCAACTTCCCAAGGTGTAACACACACACATACACACATACACACACAGAAAGAGATACAAAGATAAATATCATACCTGGAGTCATCCGCTGGGTTGTAGTGTATCAGCACGGTACGGGATGAAGTGCTGCCACGTCTAACGGATTAACGGATAAACCGTTTATTGCCACAGATTACCCGCAAGTCCTTGGATCCGGCCGTTGCGTCATCCGGCGCGTCCGGCCGCAGCCTCAACGCCTCAACGCAGCCTGTGGTGTCGCTCCCCGCGTCGTCGGCCTCCCGCTTGAGACTACAAGTGGACCAGGGCGCCGCTAGGCCGCCGCCACCGCTGCCGCTGGTGACGGCGGCCGCGAGAGGTGATGGCGGCACTGCATTTCCGCGGGAGCTGGTGTTAGTGGGCAATTACGGAGGGGTAAGTTCCGAAGGTATTTTACCAGGAAGGAAGGTCCGCTACTGGGTTTTACTTGTTTCCCTTGTTGTGTAAACTGCTTGGATGTCAGGAATTGTTCCTAACCTAGCTTGCGGCCTCTAGGCTCTTGCGCCTCTGCTGACTCGTGTATGGGCACTCGTTACGGCTCTCTGGGTAACGCAGCTGAGTTGTAACACATACACCCACAAACATATGGGTTAATTAGGGTTTGGGACAGGTGCACTTGGTGAGGATCGAAGTGGTGCGGGTATAAGCACACACGTGTATGTACCCCTCTCCCATGAAGGAGCCTGGGCTCTTCCAAAGGGTTGTTTTACGGCTGCTGGCGTGGGGATGGCGATTGCCTTCATTTCTTTCCCTTTCTGCCAGGAAGTGAATAATTGCCCGTCCTGTGTCGCTGCTTAGCATGATTCTCTCTCCTTCTCTTTCTCTCTGTTTACTCTGTGCATGAGAGCCCTTGTGACCGCTCAGTCGCCATCTCTGTTGTGCCGTTACCGTTGTTATCACCGTTGTAGTTATCGTTGTGCTATGTCCGTTGCTGCTGTTGTTCATTCCAACAGCAGGGTGTAACGGTGCAGAGGTCCTCCACCGGCATTGCAACGCTGCCCCAGGTGAGGGCTTCTCACCCCGGACGGGGACGGGGACGGGGACGGGGACGGGGACGGGGACGGGGACGGGGACGGGGACGGGGACGGGGACGGGGACGGGGACGGGGACGGGTGACAGATTGGAACAAGTAATGGGGAGGACGCAGCACCACCACCATTACCCCAGCGGTCGTGGGCATCACTCATGGGTTCCTGTCCGTCTGTCTGTGTGTCTGTCCGTCCGTACTCAAGACTGTATGTATGTATGTTGTTACAGGGTGGTTAACTTCGCCAGCGGCCCCCTTTCCCGGGGCAGTCCCTGCTCTCCCCTGCTAGAGGGGCACCCTAATCCGTCACCCCATCCGACTTCAGAATGTATTCGTTGGGTTCGGCAACTCACCACCAGCATCCAACCAAATCTAGCGGATCAACGGCGCATCAACTTAGTTCCTGGTCAGCTCGCAAGTTGATATTATCACGTCCTACACCGTCCATAAGATGGGGGGCCACCTCCCATTTCATCACTCCTCAAACACCCGAGGAGCCGGCAGGCGGATTTGAACCCGGGTCGACTGGGTCGACTGGGAGCAGAAGTCAGGCCTTAACCTCTGCCAGCCGCCTGCCTATGTATATATGTATCTTGCAGGGCTACACCCTGCTCGCGACCGGCCCTAACCAGAGCAACCCCGGAGGCGGCATGGTGGGGGAAGGATTTCAGGCGCTGGTGCTGCAGCGGATCGCAACACTAGAGGAGGAAACGCAGGTACGGCAATGTACACAATCACGGAACCACCTGAATGCGCGAAAGCCCTTATTACGGCGGTGGTTACGGTCCTTAGAATTCTGTGCTTTTGCCTTCGGGTGTCGTAAAGCTTTTTTCGCAACACGCCGTGCGCTCCACTCACACCGCTCGTGTACAGGAGCAAAGGGAGCGCCATGCTGAGCTTCGATTGGAGCTCCTGCAGAAGTTAGCTGACGTGGCGGCGACGGTGGCGTCAGCGGTGCCGCCGCAAACGCCGCCGCAAATCGCCGTTCAGCAAACCGCCGACGCGGCACACGTGGCTGTAACCGCTGCGGGTACGGCACACCGGGCGGTCATGGGAGCCGCTGCGGCGGCGCGAGCCGCCAATGACGCGACGGCTGCGGCGGCCGCAGCTAACCGGGAGACAGAGCTTTTGGCGGCCCGCATGGCGGCGTGCGAGACGATGGTGGCGCAGCGCTTGGAGGAGGGAATGAAGGAGCAACGCGAGTCTGTGACTGCATTCAGGTACGAAACGTACGACACGCTGCCGTGCAACAATACCCCAACGCCCCTTACACCCAGGCATTGTGAAATCTGCCTTAACTTGTCCCCCCTCTTTATACTCCGTACCGCGGTGTGCCCCGCGCCATTTTGCGAATTGCCTCTGAAAGGATTATGCCATTGCCGCATTCATCTTGGGGGTGTGGCGTACAGCAGTACGGCATATTTACAGCGTGACGTGCCGATGGTCTTCCGATGGCTTCCGGTGGCCAGTAGCTTGCAGCGCAGGTTTCCGTGGACAGTACGACATCCTCTGTGCACACGTCCCCCATCTCCTGCACGCTCACGTAGGGCCCATCTGGAGACTCTAGAGGGCTCTATCACAGCGGTGGTGATGGCGGCCTTGTCGACGCAGCTTGAGGAGCAGTTGGAGAAGCGTCTGCGGGAGCATCTCAGCACGACGGAGGTGGATAACAAGCTACTGCCGACCAATGGCGAAGCAGTAGCAGCTGCGGCGGCGGCGGTGGCGGCGGCGGGGCAGCACATGCCTGAAGCCGACGACACAGCCCATCCAGCAGCTGTGGCGGCGGCTGTAGCGGTGACTGAGCAGCGTCTTGCCAGCGTTAAAGCCCTCGCCGCGGCGGCGGCGATAGAGGCGACTGAGAAACGCCTCGCTGTCGCCGAAGCGGCAGCAACCAAGGCGGCTGTAGCTGCCGCTGTGGCGGCGACGGAGGAGCGCCTCGCAAGTGCCGAATCCGCCGCTGCGGCGGCGGCAATAGAGGCGGCGGAGAAACGCTTTGGCGGTGCCGAAGCCGCTGCCAAGCGGCTGTGGCTATAGCGGCGGCAGAACAGCGCCTCGCTAGGGTCGAATCCTCAGTTACGGCGGTAGCGATGGAAGCGACTGAGAAACGCCTCGCTGTTGCTGAGGCCGCTGCGACCAAGGCGGCTGTAGCTGCTGCTGTGGCGGCGACGGAAGAGCGCCTCGCAAGTGCCGAATCCTCAGTCACGGCGGTAGCGATAGAAGCGACTGAGAAACGCCTCGCTGTTGCTGAGGCCGCTGCGACCAAGGCGGCTGTAGCTGCTGCTGTGGCGGCGACGGAAGAGCGCCTCGCAAGTGCCGAATCCTCAGTCACGGCGGTAGCGATAGAAGCGACTGAGAAACGCCTCGCTGTTGCCGAGGCCGCTGCGACCAAGGCGGCTGTAGCTGCTGCTGTGGCGGCGACGGAAGAGCGCCTCGCAAGGGCCGAATCCGCCGTCACGGCGGCGGCAATAGAGGCGGCGGAGAAACGCCTCGCTGTTGCCGAGGCCGCTGCGACCAAGGCGGCTGTAGCTGCTGCTGTGGCGGCAGAACAGCGCCTCGCAAGGGTCGAATCCTCAGTCACGGCGGTAGCGATGGAAGCGACTGAGAAACGCCTCGCTGTTGCTGAGGCCGCTGCGACCAAGGCGGCTGTAGCTGCCGCTGTGGCGGCGACGGAAGAGCGCCTCGCCAGTGCCGAATCCTGCAGTCACGGCGGTAGCGATGGAAGCGACTGAGAAACGCCTCGCGGGTGCCGAGGCCGCGGCTGCTAAAGCGGCTGTAGCAGCTTCCATGGCGGCGACGGAAGAGCGCCTCGCAAGTGCCGAATCCTCAGTCACGGCGGTAGCGATGGAAGCGACTGAGAAACGCCTCGCTGTCGCTGAGGCCGCTGCGACCAAGGCGGCTGTAGCTGCCGCTGTGGCGGCGACGGAACAAGTTCTCACCGGTGCTGAAGCTGCTGCGACAGCGGCGGCAGTAGCAGCGACTGAGAAGCGCTTCGCGGGTGCCGAGGCCGCGGCTGCTAAAGCGGCTGTAGCAGCTTCCATGGCGGTTACGGAGCAGCGCCTTGTCCGCGCGGAAGCTGCGACTGCGGCGGCGGCGAAGGCGGCGACTGAGACTCGTCTTGCAGAGGCTGAAGTGGCGGTGACGGCGGCGGCAGTAGCAGCGACCGAAAAGCGCCTTGCCAGCGCCGAAGCCGCTATCGCGTCTGTGGCTGTGGCGGCGACCGAGCAGCGCCTCGCCCGCGCGGAATCCGCCGCTACGACGGCGGCGGTAGCCGCAACTGAGAAACGCCTCATTGCCGCCGAGGCCACGGCAACTAAAGCGGCTGTAGCTGCCGCCGTAGCAGTGACAGAACAACGCCTCGCAAACGCCGAATCCAGCGCCACAGCGGCGGCACTAGCAGCGACTGAGAAACGCTTCGCGGGTGCCGAGGCTGCAGCTGCTAAAGCGGCTGTAGCTGCCGCCGTTGCGGTGACGGAGAGGCGTCTCGCCGATGCTGAAGCTGCTGCTACTGCGGCAGCGGTGGAGGCGACCGCGAAGCGTTTCGCAGGTGCTGAAGCCGCTGCTGCCAAGGCTGCGGTGGTTGCAGCGGTCGCTGTGACTGAGAAGCGCATCGCCGGCGCCGAATCTGCCATCACGGCAGCTGCGATGGCGGCGACTGAGAAGCGTCTCGCTGACGCGGAAGCCGTTGCGACGGCGGCAGCGTTGGCAGCGACTGAAAAGCGCTTTTCTGGTGCCGTAACTGCCGCTACGGCGGCTGCGCTCGCGGCGACAGAGCAGCGCATTGTGGATGCAGAAGCAGCGGCCACAGCGACAAGTGCGGCTGCCGCCAGACTCGATGCCACCGTAGTGGATCTCAAGACTCGTCTCGACACGATTGAATCTAAGGTAAAGGACGCCCTCCGCAGCCGTACACACCCTGCGCCAGGCTACGTCAACGATGACGCATCCGAGGTTGGACGCCTCTTCCCCGACGCCGTTGCTTCCCTCGACGCCGCCAAGAACCGGAGCTCGGACAATCGTGGCATTCGCAGTTTAAAAAGCATCCTTGCACCACCACCGCCACAGGCACCGCCGCCTCCGCAGCCTGCGGGCGGCTCTGTCAGGGACAGCGGCGCTGCTGTCGCTGCCGCTGACGCCGACGGAGGCTTACGCGGCGCCAACGCCAGCGCGGCAGATGCGGCAGCGGAGTGGGACGCGCTGGCGATCCGCGTGTCGGCTTGTGAGCGCATCGCCGCTGCCGATTCCCTGGCGCGCAGCATGCATCACACCGTTCTGGACCATCATAACCACGTGCTGGACGAGCATACGACACAGTTGCAGCGCCTGGATACGGCTTTGGATCGGCTGCAGGAGCAGGTACGGCAGTTGCTGCAACAGCCGTCAGGACTGCCGTTGTCCCCGGTGACGACGATGCGAGATGGTTCACCTGAGGGCTCCGAAACCGGTGCCAGCGGCGGACCGGCTGCTGCGCGGGAAGCGACGGAGCTACAGCAACAGCAGCAGCAACAGCAGCAGTGGCACGATCAGTTGCTCTCGCAGCTGCAGGACCTTCAAAACCAGGTGGAATCCCTTCAGTCGCTTCGGCGGGGGCCCCAGTCGCAATTCGAGTTGTCGCAACGCCTGACGGCTCTTGGTGAGATGTTTGCGGCGCTCCAAGAGCAGCTGGAGGACCTGACTTCCAAGGTAAATGTTGCGGACATACCGTACGTGTACGGCAGAGATATGAGATGGTACGAAAACGAAGAAAATATTGATGCTCATGCTGAGGCAGTGGTGCTCCGTACACGGGTATACGGGCATGGGTACGAATGAAGATGAGCATATACTTGCAGGCAAGTAGCTGGGATGGTCGTTTGGTGGAAGGAGGAGGATGGGGGCCCCCAGGCATTGTCCCAGATACCTCTTAAAACGTTTCCAAACCAAACGCCTGGTGACTTGCGTATTCTAGCTGCTGTTGAAGAGTCTCAGGTGCTCTCCGGTCCAGCAGGGGAAGCCTCACGGGCAAACCAATCACGCCCGTGAACACGCCCCTAATTATTCTGATCTTCTTAAGCGCCCCAAAACATGCAAAAATTCTCCTATAAATCCGGAATGCAACCCTGAATTCCATTACAAAACCCAAAAACTTAAAAACCCAAAACCTTTCCAACCATTTGGTGCCTTTCCCCGGGCCCGTCCCGAACCGATAGGTGGGCTGGATGCAAGCCAAGGGCGCTTCCAGCACTTCGGTTTCGGATCCAAAGACTGTGGGACTTGGATCCAGCCTGCAGTACCAGGTATCTGGTGCAGCTGGCGGCATCAGCGACGGCGTCAGCAGTGGCCCCACCGCCGCCGCCGCTACCACCTCCGAGGCGCTTTTGGCAGCTTCGGAGCAACGTTTGCGGCTGGATCTAGAGGCCGCATTGAAGGTCAGTCCAGTGCAGGACAGCCCAGCGATATTTCTGCTGCGAGGCGCGATATCGTACTGTGTTGTGTTGTGTGTGGGAATCACGAACCGCGATCACGAACACGGGGAACACGCACGCTTGCATGCAGGCACACTCCACTCACCATCTCCCCTGAACCATCCTCCCCACTTCCTCTCCCCCCGTAGCAACTGACATCACAATCCTTAGAGGATCTGGACCAAATCCGCCTCCGCTTAGCTGAGCTAGAGAAGTCGTCCAAGGCCGGTACAGCAGCACCGGATTCGGTTTCGGGGCTTTCGTACATCACCAAGGCCGACCTGGAGGAGTTACAGGTGGGCCTGGGGCCGGGATGATACGTACGGCGGGCGGATAGGACGAGCAAAGAGATTATACGAAAAGAGCAAAACCGAGCTCATGAGCTCATGACCAGGCTCAGGACACGGCAAATGAGTGTCACTCCTCTATCGGTTCATCCATTCCCCGACACCCCACCGCGTGTCTTCTGTCGCTCCCAGCCTCGCGCACCCGCGCTTCAGTAAGACGAAACCTGTAACAAGTTATCCTCCTGGTAACCCTCCCTTACACCTTACCCGCCCTCCTTCTCCCTCTATATTCCCTTACCCGCAGTCCTTCATGCACACGGCGCTGGAGGAGCTCAGCCTCTCCATAAGGCGACTAGACGCATCCACAGCGGACCTCAACGTGGATATGCAGCATGCGGCCAAGGATGTGGGTCGGCTGCTGGTGCAGGTGAGGCGGGGGGGGGGTCTGGGGACCGAGGTTTCGGAGCTGGGGTGAGAGTTGAGGGGAGGGGCTGAAGCTGCAGATGAAGTGCCGTGGCCGGGGAGTGGAGCAGGGGTTGATGTTGGGCTGTGTGTATGGTGGCGTGTCGTGGTTGGGCGGAGGTAAAAAAGGAGGAGATGGAGGCTATGACCCTGCTGAAGACGGCCCCAAGGTTGGGGATGGGCATGGGAATGCGTTGGAAGGTAGCAAGTTGGAAGTTGGAAATTGGAAGGTTGCGATCCCCTTGACCGACGCGCTTCCCGAACCCAATCGGTTTCAGGAACAGCCGTCCTGTGCTTGGTATGGCATGCAGGTACGGCAACTGCATCAGCAGTACGAGGATCTGTCGGAGTCCGTGGGCTTATTGAAGTACGGCGCTGGCGGCAGCAGGTCTGGCGGCGCCCCCGCCTCCGCCGCCTCCGCCTCTACCGCCGTCGCTACCTCAGAGAAAGCTCAAGGTTAAATTCGCCTAGCTGAGAGGCGTACGGCAGCTGACTTCTAAAGATACCGCGGATAGAGGACTCCACTCTAGTCCCAGAGTGGAGAGGGGCTGCAAAACGAAGACGGTGCAAATCATGTTTAGTCGGAAGGTGTTCGGTTTCAAGCCGTCCTCCTGACTTTTAAAGTTACAAGTTTAAAACGTCTCCTCGGAGCTGGCTTGGTTTTGCGTTGCTTGGTGGTTGGTAGTTGAGTCCTGTTAGTTGGAGGTTTACGAATTAAGTCCTGCTGTCGTCCCTTTCCTTTCGTAGTCCATCCATCCCCCTCCACCCACGACCCATCGGTCGTGAAAATTCTCATGATAAGAGCCTCCCGATCGTGTTCTGCATCGAAAATTCCTGCTGCTGGTGTAATAGCAGACTACAATTATGGGTGCTGGGTGGTGTAAGAGCTTGTACGGCGACAAGTACTGAAAGGGCTGCAACCCTCAGAGGGCCCTATACTGTTGATATAGCGGAGGATGACGAATTCGTTTGTGTGTGGTTTCGTTTGTGTGTGGTGACAGTGCCTGATCAGCATAGCCCTTGGCAGGGGCAGATACGAGGGGGTGGCTTCTCTGGGGAAAAGTGCCTGTCTCTCCTCTCTGTCCCTGCTTGTTGATCAGTTGTTACCGTTACCGTTACGGTTACAGTTGCCGTTGCTTTGCATGCAACGATTAACTGCGGTTCAAAGGTAAGCAGCTACAAACTCGATAAGTCTCTTAACTTTGGGGTTTCTTTATCTGTATGGGGGTTTACATACGATCGTCAGTTGTGATATCACGCATGTATGCATGTATGTATGTTGTTACAGGGTGGTATAGCTTCACCAGCGGCCCCCTTTCCCGAGGCAGTTCCCTGCTCTCCCCTGCGAGAGGGGCACCCTAATCCGTATATAATGCATGTATGTATGTGTGTAAGCATGTATGTATGTGTGCGTTACACCTTGTGTTACTCTCTGTATGTCGTTACAGGGTGGTTAAGCTGTATGTAAGGTGCGCGCATCAATGTTGCGTGTTGGACGTACGAGAGCCCCCCGCCGTGCATGTAACTTGTGTCTATCCTTACATAGGAGTATAGGGGAGCAGGGCTTCGATCGATCTTGGTATGTTGTACGGAGCCACGTGCGTGTGCCGTACGTACTTCTGCCGGTTTGCGTAGCCGGTTATGAGTTTTGGAAATGAACGCCGAGGTTGAAACGCTGTATCTCCCATTCGTTCGTCGAATTATATGACGTGGAATTCTTTAGTGGCAATCGATGTTAGCACACAACAGACATGCATACACCCACACATATGCACATATGCACATGTGGACAATCGTTTCTTCTAAATGCATATGTGCCTAGGTGTGTTTGTCAAGAGGTGCGTCTGTCTATCTGTCTGTCTGTCTGTCTATATGTCTGTGTGTACGTGCGCTTACAGAGTGTTATATAGAAGGGCAGGTTCACCTTGAGAGACATATAATGTTTAGTAAGCGAGCTCATTATAAATGGCGCATGTATGTATATCATTATATCATATATATAGTCCAATACTGCTGTCAGCTGGATGAACACAGCGGGCAGGAAGAAGCGGGATGCGAGTTTAAAATTTGGTCGTTGTAAATATGAGAGCCTTTATCCGGCCTTCGGCCGGATCGTCCAACCGAAAAAGTTACGAATTTCCTATTTAAGCCCTGCTGGCTTACCACCATTCATTCATTAGCGTAGTTTGACTGGAAGACGAGGTGGCTGACGCAAGCGCCGTACATTGGCAGCAGGCTCGGTTCAGTCCGCTTGGAATGCTGCAAAGGCGTTGTGGGGTGGGGGTTCCCACCCATCACAACCTCTCGCATGCAGTTATGAAGCCGCCGCACTGAGAATGACACGTCAGCATGACGCGTCCCCAACGGTACGTGTCACTGACTACTTTTCGGAGCCATCCCCTGCGAATTGACATTCGCCCCTCCTTGTTTGTCTTGTCTATTTGTCTGTATGTATGACTGCCTTCTCTGTTTGTCATATCCATTGGTCGAGCGGAACGATACGCAATATACGACGATCATACCCATATTACCTTTCTTATGGTGGCTGCCTGCAAAGTATACCAAAATCATTTTGCCAACTTTGCCGACAAAGGACAAAATACCAGCCTTTATTCATGTAATTATATATCACTCACAATCATTAATTGTACGGATGTTAAACGAATGGATGAATGACAAACAGACTGATAAACCACCAAACCCTTTAAAAAAGCGCCGATTGGTCCTCCGTGAAACGTCTAAACGCAAAGACGCGTCTTCCTCCCTACCATTATTCATTCCATCAACACCACCGCTTCCACCCTAGGCTTGGTTTTGCATAGCTCTCCCGTACTACTGTCACCCATAGACTGTCGCCCATAGTCGCCGGTTCTATCCCCCCTTCCTTCCAGGAACCGCCCCGCCCATCCCTGCTTTCCTTGCCAACCAACTAGCCAGCACTGTCGCCACACCGCCGCCGCCGCCGCTTCAACACCACTTTCCTCTCCTCAAACCGATACGGACGTGTGGAAACCTATCTACAGCTGTTCGACTGCAGTTCTGCACTCGTTGCCAGGGCCCCGTTGATACCTCACTTCCCCTCCTCCTTTTCCTTCCCCTCCTCCTTTTCCTTCCCCTTCTCCTTCCCCTCCTTTTCCTTTTCCTTCTCCTGCTTCCCCTCCTCCTTTTCCTTTTCCTTCTCCTGCTTCCCCTCCTCCGCCGCCGCCGCCGCCGCCGCCGAGGTCCTTGACGACTCCACACGCTTGCACGCTTGCCATCACACCACCGTGGAGAGGAGAGGAGAGGAGAGGAGAGGAGAGGAGAGGAGAGGAGAGGAGAGGAGAGGAGAGGAGAGGAGAGGAGAGGAGAGGAGAGGAGAGGAGAGGAGAGGAGAGGAGAGGAGAGGAGAGGAGAGGAGAGCGGTGGCGATGGTGGCTGCGGGGTTTTGCCGCTACCATACAAACCCGGCCCCTGTCCCCCCTCGACAATACCTGTCAACAATCCGGTGTGCGCTATGGTCCGATCAACACTAAAACCGCCGTCGGTTGTACGGTGTAACCAACTTTCAATATATATAGTCCATGGCCTCCCGGTTTTGACGGATCCAAACCCCGCACTTGTGCGGCGCTTGTGCGGCGCCTGTAACTACCGCCGCCACTATGACCATCACCACTGCTAGGGCAACCAAGCGGGCCCAGCGTCCCAAACATACATACGGACAAACTACGAGAGAACGACGAGGACACAGACAGCTACCACTAAGAAAGAACAAAATGTTCCCGGACCGCGCGACACAATCGCAATTCGAATGCTGAAGAGAAATGCCGAAAGGATTGCACACGCGCGCCGTAGCGGTCTGGCGGTAAAAAGCCCAAAGTCCTCAAGCCCCAACCAAAAACGATATTGAGGAACCGGAGGAAACAAAAAACGGTAACTACCCACCTACAAACCTAATCGCGTACCCTACCCTGCGGCGCTATTACTAAAGAGACGACTCGCGATGATGTGTTCGCAACTGCGACCCACCACCTTCACTCGCTCGTGGTTCCTCTTTTCTCCCCTCCCCCCCTCCCTCCCCTCCCCTCTCCCCCCCCATCCAACCCTCCCCTCCTCCCCCCATCCAACCCTCCCCTCCCCCCTCCCCTCCTTCCCCCCATCCAACCCTCCCTCCTGCCCGAACCTCCTCCCTCCATTCGGCCTTCCCCGGGGGTCACTCGACCAGTGAACTTCCTCAACTTCCTCCACCCGCAGCCTCGGCAGCAGCCCCCTTCCTCCACGTGGGGCCATTCACCAAGCTGAACCACGTTAAACTACAGGGACTATTCAGGACAGGACAGGGCCATTCGCCAGCAGCCGGACACACGCAACTACTGGGTGGGGGCCCGGCGCGGCAGCACATAAGGCCCTTCCGCGCCGGGGCCTCCCGGGCCGGCGTTACAGCATTTGCCCTTCAGGCTGGTGAAATAGTTGGATAGGTTTGCGTCCCGACCCACCGTGTCATCCAGAACCGCGGGCCAGTCGTAGCGGTAGCGGATAATGGGGCCGCGGACCGGTTCCTGCGGACCGTGTGTGGCGCCGGGGGAACGTGTGCCGTGTTATGTGTATGTATGTATGTATGTATGTATGTATGTATATATGTATGTATGTATGTATATATGTATGTATATATGTATGTATATATGTATGTATGTCATGCAATCCATCGAATCCGTGCGGCGGCTTTTTAAAATCGTATTGATGGGTTCCAACCCCTTCACCCGCCTATGGATGACGGCGAAACGCATATGTACGGCACACTCGCTTGTTCATTTTCAATCGTCCGCACACAGACACACACACACACATGTATATATATACGTATATATATACGCAATGTACATACATACACATTCTCACGCACTCACACACACCTTTCCCAGTTCTTCGCTCAGCAGTGAAATGATGTTGCTGACGTTGGCCGCCATGTTGTGATTGTGGCCACGAGGCTCCTGCGGGGGGTTGGGGGAACGGGGTTGGGAGGTGCCGGGGGAGCGGGGGTTTCGGAGGGGTACAAAAAACACAGCGTGCCGGCGTGCCGGAAGGACAGACCTCGTGTGTTAACCGTGTGTGAACCGAAACACACCCACACTCATCCTCCCTACCCCCATCCCCCCCCTGGGTGGGCCTTACCAGCAAATCAACCCAGTAGTTGAGCCCATGTCCGATGGCCTCCTCGTACAGCGGGGTGTTGATCCAATCTCGCGGCATCAGCTCCAGAACCAGCGTGTTGGTAGCTAGCCATTTGAAGTTGCACAGACCGCCTCCGTGTGGGCCCAGGAAGGCTGCGGCGTTGCGGTTGAGGTAGAGGATGTAGTCGAGGGGGTCCATGGACGACGCGACAGGGGGGTGCACCTGCGTGCAGGAAGTGTGCATGTATGTATGTATGTATATATATGATATATATCATATATATATATGATGTATGATGTGCGATAGAGCCTGAATGGGGGAACATGTGTATGATGTGTGAAACAGGGGGGTATATCTTCGCCCGTGGCAGCTACCCTGCGAAACCCTGCCTTCCCCGGTATTTCGGGGCACCCTCATCCAGTCACCCTAGTCAACTTCTCAGTGGATCGCTCAGGTGGACCGCACCCACCACCGACATCCAACGGAATCTGCCGGATCGATGGCGGCCCAACTCCGTTCCGGGTCGGCTCGCAGGTTAACTTTATCCCAGGTCACCACCGTCCATCAACTAAGGGCATTTTACCTTCCACCATCGGAAGGATTTTCGGCCCTGACAAGTCTCGATCCCGGGATCTCCCGGGGGCAACGGTATGTATGTATGTAAAATTTTATGTAAAACTTTATGTATGTTGGGATGTACGTGTGAATGTGGGGGTGGTTGAGCTGCGGAGAAGTTGGGGGCGAGGAGGGGGACGTAACGTGGTGTTGGTGGTGCTCGTACTGGTGGTACTGGCGGTACTAGGAGGTGCCCGGGAAGGACAGGAAGCAAGGGCGGGGGGGCAAGGGACGGCAGCAGCAGCAGCAGCAGCAGGGGCAGCAGCAGCAAGGGCAACGGGAATAGCAGCCGCATAAGGTCCTAAGCAAGCTGAAGTGTGACGACACACACGCGCATACACATACACACACACACACGCGCACACATACACCCACACGCACATACACATACATACACACACACGCACACACGCGCGCACACACACACACGCACATACACACACGCGCGCACACATACACACACACGCGCGCACACACACACGCACATACACACACACACACACGCTCGCACACATACACACACACGCACACACACATACGCACATACACACACACGCACACCCGGACCCCTCCTCCCCCGGCCGCCCCAAACAGACCTCCAGCCTCTCCCCCCGGCCCCGGCTCTTCAGCAGCTCCTCGATGGCGTCCATCACCTCCTTCTCGTTCACGATCTCGCGGCCGCTGTTCTGACGACTGAGATCGTTACTGGACCTGCGGCCAAGCCGGGGGAAGGGGGAACCGGGGGGAGTCGCAGGTGCATGTGCGAGCGTGTACGGCTGTGTATGTACGTCTGTCTGTGTACGACTGTGTGCGTATGTATGCACGCCTCATTCTATGTAGGTGATGTTTCAGTGGTGAGGGCATGAGGGCATGGGGTCCCGCCAGCCAGCGCAGTTTTTCAGACGGCAGGCAGACATACATATACACATACATACACACATACACACACACGCGTTCCCCGACACCCCTCTCCTCCCCGCCTACCTGCTGTACCAGACCACCACCTTCCGCTCCGACAGCGGCACCCGAGGGGCATCGGGACCCATCACCATTTCCTAGGAAAACCCGAGGAAGCGGGTGGTTAGGTAGGTGGTTGGTAGGTAGTTGGTAGGTAAATTTGCGAATTGACAAGAAAAGTAGGTTGGTTGTCACAACGTAGGTGAGGGCTGGGGGGAGGGGGATGTTAGGGGGGTGTCATTAGATAACCCCGATTGACGAGTTCCGTATTCCGTACACGTGTGGGATTGTCCGTAAAAGCCTGAAGAGAGCCTCAACGAGGTGAGAGAACGGTTAATATTCGGGGGGGTTTGGGAGGGGCTGAGAAATAAGGAGGGAGGTGAGAGGGAAAGGGGGGGGTGAGAGGGGGAGGTGAGCGGGAAAGACGAGAGGGGGGAGAACAGATAATACGCAACCTCTCACACCTGCAAACAACATTCCGGCCCGACGCGGCACGCTAGCTAACCTGTAATCGGAAGAAGAGGTACGGATGCACGTACGGCACTCGGCACGACACCAACAGCCGCCGTACATGCATAAGTTCGTAAGTAGGGGTCATAAATTGCTTCCTCTTGATGTGCGGTAGCCAACTCCACATGATTTGTACGATATCTTGTTTCGATTCCAGGCTGGAACCTGTCGTACGGGAGGGTGGTGTGGGTATGTATGTGCGGGGGGAGGGTGGCAGGGGAATACACCGTCCCCGGGGGTTGCCGGGGGGGGAAAGACGAGCCACAAACGAGTGAAGCTGCTTGGCCAGGGCAAGAGTGTACCAGACGTAGGGGGGGGGGTGAAAGAGAGATTATAGATTATTAACAGACATCAATAAAAACACAGATAGGAATGAGCCATACAACATTCCGGGCGTCGAGGGCCCGAGTGAAAACCCAGTGGGGCGGTTAGGAGTGACAGTTGACGCCGTAGAGGGCACGGCGCGTGGGGAACCAGAAAACCAGGGGGGTTGTTGTTGCTGCTGTTGCTGTTGTTGCGGTTGTTATTGCCGTTTTCAGCGTACGTGTGAACTATTCGCAAATTCCTGTTTTTTTAATATATAAAATTTGTTTGCTTTCATGAAGATCTAGTTAATGAAAGCAATGACTTAGTAACGGCTGTCGTGTTCGGAAAGCGTCATGGGGAAAACGTCCCAAACGCCCGGAACAGTCCCAAAACACAGCACGAGGATTACCGGTGGGGAAGTGTACGGCATGTGGACGAGAGAGAGCTTGCTAATGTGAAACACAATCGAGGAGCTGTGTAAAAAAGGCGAACTTCCCTCCCGTCCTGCCCGCCTGCCTGCCCACGCGTCCTCCTATCGGGCCCCCGGGGCCCCCACCTCTCTTCCCCCTCCCGCACTCCCCCCCAAATCCCCACCCCCCCCACCACAACCCAAACCCGCAGCATCCTTAAAACCCCCTTGCATTACCTAGTATGATTCGTGTACTCCCGGAAATGAGGTGGGCCGACTGCATGAGCGGTTTGGTGGTGTGATCCAACCAGTGCTGGTACCTGAAAAACAACAAATACAACAGATTACCAACGGTAACAATGACAACAAACAAACAAGAGGGTAGTAGCAGGACCAGAAGTAGAAGCAATTAAGAGGTAGTAGGAGGGCAGTAGCAACAGCAGCAGTACAGACGGCACACGTACATAATACATACATAATACGTGCATAATACATACGTTCATACATACATTCATACATACATATGTGAACGTCCCTAAGTTCCCCCCTAGGAGGCTGTCCCTCTGCTTCACTCCCTCGCCTTCCTTTCCCCCCTCTCACCCACCGCCCTCATCGCTCCCCCTTCAGCCACCTTGACCTCCCGACCCTCCCAAACCCCAACTAACTCATGTACAGGATATCCCTCTCCTCCCCCCTCCCTCCTACCACACAAACGTCCCCCCTGCGGTTGCGGTCGGTGGTGTTACCCATCAAGCATACCTCCCCCCCCTCCCCTCCCCCTAAAACACACACAAAAACGCACACATACACACACACGTTTGTACACATGTTTTTTATTTACTGGCAAACTCTACCACGTCTCTGGTGACTACGGAGCTCGCTTCGGTAGGACACAAAAACACACGCGTGCGCGCACACACACACACACACACGCGCGCGCGCGCGTACATACACGCGGTGTCCCCTTCTTCATTCCCCCTTTTCCCCCAGCTCCGAAACCCAACCTACCTCTCACTGTCCGGCGTGACGTACACTGCGGCCTCCTCCACGACCTGCAACCCCGCATCCGCGAGACCTCTCACCCCCATCCCGGCTGCACTCCCTTGCCGGCCCCGCTGCTGCCTCCGCCCCCGGCCCCGCCCCCGCTGGTGCCCTTCCTCCTGCTGCGGCGGCGACTGCAGTGGCGGCCTTACCACTTGTTCGAACGTCTCCGTGGTTGACATGTGCCCCAGACAGTGGCTCGAGTCGGATAGCCAGGTGGTGGGCAATCCGCCGTCCGTGTAACTGTGATCGAGGAAAGGGAGGGTGACGCGAGGCGGGATAGGGCGAGGCGGGATAGGGCGAGGCGAAGAAAAAAGACTAAAAAACCCCAAACCCCTAAAACCCTTTCCTCCCCCCCAAAACCCCCCCTAACCCCGCCCCGCCTTTTCCCCCACTCACGCCACGTCCTTGAACACCAGGTTCTGTCCTCTAAGTCCCGAGAACACCAGTCGCCCCTGTCGCCGGTCCACTATGACCCGCTTGTTGGCCCCAGTCTGGCCCTGGCTGCCGGGACCGTAGTTGGTGTCGAGCCATTGCTGGGCGTCATCGGCGTTGAAGAAGCCCGGCATGGCGGCCTTCGCGACCACGAGGGGGGTTAGGGAGATCCCGGGGGGGGGCGGGGCGCGGAGGGCGGGGGGGGGGGGAACCGGTGTATGGGAGGGCAACCGCGGACTCAAGAGTCTGTTTTGATCCGGGCGGACTGCGTGGCCAGTGGGCACGTGATGGTGTGTGTGCAAGTGTGTGCAAGAGAATGTGTGTGTATGTATGTGTCATGTGTATTGTGCGGGCTTACCCCGTACCTCAAAATCCGGGTAAACGATTTCTTCTCCGTACTCCAGATTGGGTTTGACCTTCGCAAGGCAGGGCGCATAGTACGGCGGCATATCTGCAAAAAGGGCGTCAACATTACCATCACCGCCAACTTTTATTATCCACAACAGCAGAGCAGCAACGACAACAACAAAAAAACGGCTGACGGCAACAATGACGCCAGAAGCAGCAGCAGCGGCAGCAGCAGCAGCAGCAGCGGCAGCAGCAGCAGCAGCAGCGGCTGCCCGGCGGCTACAGGATGCCGGAAAGTACTACCAGTTCCAGACGCAATGGCCTTTCCATCTTCCCCCCGGTAAGAAGGTGAGGTCGGCGGGGGATCCCAGGGAGTGTGTGTGCGTGTGTGTATGTGTATGTGTGTGTATGTGTGCGTGCGTGTGTGTTTTACATATCGATCCGGCCTGGCGCTGGTGTGTGTGTGTGTTAAGGGGGGGAAGGCGGGAGCGGTTCAAGGGGTGATGTATCAGCGGCAGCAGCTCCTCAGTGGAGGCAGAAGACTGTCGGCACATGGCGCACTCGCGTGGCAGATGACACAATGACCGCCGTAAGTAAGTCCTGGGAAATGCTGAGAGGCGCAGCAGTTGTAGGGTTTTAGGGTGATTGATCGTTCCCTAGCTGGTGGTCGTGTGCGCTCTCGCTTGTAGCAGCTGTTTGGAAGGCAGGATAACCACACCGCCAGCAGACCTTCCGTGCACTCCCGCAAGATCATCGGCTTCCATTTTTCGGACTCCAGCATTATGCGTGGCCCGCTTGAATTCACTAGCCCCAGGGATGAGGCGTACTGCTCTCGCGACCGCTCAGCTAAGCTCTCCACTTGTGGTTTTGAGCTCTGATCCGGTTGGTGTGTGTTGTCTGTTGCGATTCTTCCAAGTCTGTGTTCGAGTTCATCGATGTGTAGCGTCAAGACAGCAGCCAGCCGATAACGCCGAACCGAAGCGAAACCTAGAAGCAAAGCACATAGTATAAAAACTGTAACCCATATTAACAAAATTCGTCTGCGTGCAGCTCTGGATGTCATCGACATTTGTTGACTAACACCCAGCGAGCATACTTATTGTTACAAACTGTCCTAGGTCTCTGCCTACCGTCAATCCGTGTAAAGTCCTGCTCTGGAGAGCGGTCTGGTCGCAGCGTGACACATAAGGTGCCGTATTAACGGCCATGTGTCTGTCCTTCAACACAACTGCAACAAACCAAGTCCCATGCTCCTGACACAATTTGAGAGACATGCACCTGGAGCCAAAACGTTTTAGACATCCTGGGCCCATCGTTGCAGGAGGATACGTTTGTATAGGTTTATCCCGTTGCGTGATGTTTGGTCAGCTCCCGGTTGGATCCAAGTCCGTTTGCAGCGCATCATGCAAATGTTTACTTCTCGTTTCCTGCTTCCAATGTTTACAGTGGATCCCGATTGGGTCAAGTGCAACGCTCCAAGCAACGCCTCCCGTACAACGCTGTGGGCCTTAATCAAGTAGAAATCCTGAATTCGGCCAAGGCCGCACTAGCTTCACAGGCAATAATGCCTCAGCTGATATGCTCAAATGTTATAAAAGAACGCAACCGTAACAACTTTATTATCAGCTCAACAATCATCATAATCATTAACCGGTCACTGAAAAACAAGTTTTTTCGCATGGTTGATTGATAGGGAATGGTTGTTTCCAGCTCGTCAGCTCATGAGCCTCTTAATAATTAAAACGTCAGGACTTCACAAATCTCTTGTGATAATGTAGTTTACCTAAAACAAGCTAAATTCAAATCCATGGCTTCAAGGGCATCAGTTTGGCTCACCTTCAAGCAGTTGCTTTCTTGGTTGTACGAGCGATTTATCCAAGGCACGCGGAACTTGCGCAGCATGCATGCATGTGGAAGGTTCCTCGGAATAATTGCTACCACTATCATTGTGATAGTAAGGCTTCGCCAGAGGAAGGAAGCTGACGTAACAAGTCTGCAGCAGGCTGTAGCACAAGCTCTACTTACTCCAGCTCCTTGCTCAAGCTTGTGCTTCAACGGCGCCTCCTCGAGTATTTAAACCGTGGTAAGGATACCCCCATGTGAACAGCCTGAAGGGCGTTGGGGCGGTGGTGTCGCCATTCCTTCTTGTGCCATATCTTGGAAACCCAAAACTGCTATCGTCCGAGACAGCCAGACGCTATGAATTCCGGAACTGAATACTGTCCGCTGCATGCTGAACTCGTGTTATGGATGTGTTTTAATGATCTGAGCGGCGATGAATGTGTGGACTCATGGCGAGAAGTACTGCTGGCACAGTGCCGTCAGACGGGCTCTATCTTTTTTCCCATGTTGTTTACCATGATTTCTGGCAAGTCCTTAAAGTTGCCTGAGCTCCCGCAACCTGTACCTCCAATGCGTGATGGTTTCGACTTTCGCAATTGGGTGACGTCCTCTCACGTGCCGCACCGTAAGTTACCGTACTATACCTGTTGCGCGCGCTTCCCCCCCTTCAAAACCCATGATGCCGGCAATGCACCATAGATATCTGTCGTCACGCCTGATTTGCTTTTAGCGAAGAGCAGAAGTGGGCTCTAGTAAGTTCCAGGAATCGTAGGCCAGCTTTCGACCCCATCCCGTTGCTTGTGAGGGCTGTAATGGCTGAATACATGTGATCTATTCCATCTGCATTTTGGTGTGTTTTGTGGGTTAATACAAAGGAAGGCAGGAAGCTGACAGGAGCAGAAGCTCGTTCTAGGAGTCGTAACCTTATTACTAAATGCCGTTGCTCATAGGAATGCCTGGCTTGGCTTTAAAACTGTTTCAGCTTCGGAAATGTGATGTGGCTCAACGTGGCCGAGACAAGGGTGGACAAGGGTTCTTGTGCATGGGAACGGGCCTTTCACCCTTCACATTTCTGTAAACAGAAACTGAAAGCTATTTTGCATTATACAATTATGAGGGTAGGGAAGGCATGATCTTCTTTGCAACGAGGCTCACTCGATTCCTGTTCGGCTGATAAGTCCGTCCGCGCCAAGATAGACGCTTTCCTATTGTATAAGGGAAATCCTTTATCCATGAGCTTGAGTGCATGCTTTTCCGTGAAATGTCTGGTCCCCGCTGCACCATTGGGCTTGCAAAAGCGTTTAAAATGGAAGCTGCAGGCCCGTGCTTTTCACCGCGTTGCCTCCACCACGCACAACCTCGATATCCCGCAAAGATCATTATCAGGGTCTCTAGTTGCCGGCCGGCGACCGTCTAGGCGTCCTTCGCGTGAGCGACTGAGCTTCCACCGTACATGTTGTTCAGTGCTCCCAGAGCGAGGCGGTGGCCAGCGGGAGATTGATCCAACGTCCCTTGAAGCCGCTGCTGACACTATGGAGACCATCTGGGACCTGGTCTGCCAGCGGGACGAGGATGCATTACTTGGCTTCTTTCCCGACCATGTCCTGGACCAAGCCGCACAACTGCGCTACATAATGGAACGCGGCGAGTAAGTGCATATATTAGAACGCACGCGCGCACATAAAGGTCACAGATAAGGAGGGTTAGCCAAGCACTGGCATTCATCACCGATTTTCCTTTCCCTTTCCGATATTTTTAAACTCCTCCTCCTGCACCCCAGCAGACAAGTGCCCCCTTCCTCCCCTGTCCGCTGGAAAAACCGCAGCTCCCCGGAGTCTGCCTCCTCCTCCTCTGCACCCATCACATCCACGCCTCAACCGCAACCTTCTGCCCAACCTGCGAAGTCCCAATCCCTGCCACAGCCGCCGCCAAATTATCCGGACAGCCGACACGTCACACTGCGTGACGTGGTCCAACAGGCGCCCGGAATGATGGGCTTCAACTTTGATAGCTTTGCCACGCGGCACCTGTACGTGTCGCCGCCGACCCGTGGGTCGGTGAAGCGCCTCAGCTGCATGCGTACGGGACTGGACCGCGCGGTGCTACGGTATGCGGTGGCAGTGGAGGATGGGGAGCGGGCAGTGCTCACATTCGGTCTGGAATGCGAGGTGCGGGTTTGAGGGTTGGGGGTTTCGGAGCAACAGTTTTGAAAAGACGGGGCGGAGGGTTACTGGGGTCCGGGGGGGCTGTATGTGCAGTAGGTGGGTCGGGGCCGCTGATATAACGACAAAATTAGTTCAACCTGGGGATGCTCCTGGAACTGGGTTTCTTCTACCTGTTGGTGACGTGTCCGTAACCTCTGCTGATTCCCTTCCCCCTTCCCGAAATAATGTACGGCATGTACGGCTGGTATGTACGGCCGTCGCACAACGTGGTGCACGGCACCAACGCGGCGATTGATGACCTGCTTTTGATGTGTCATGTGGGAAAAAACAACTGGTCCTCCGACGAACGGACCACATTCATTGGTCCACTTCTTCTCCTCCTTCGTTACACATCACGTAATGCCGCAGGAGCGACTGGCACCGCAGTAAGTCTTACCAGGCCATCCTGCATGCAAATGCTTAAATCGAATACACCTCCAGGAATATGATTTGCTTTAATTATCCGGGTATTTAGGTTGTACGGAACAGGAAAATGGCAGAAAAATGCAGAACGCGTCACGCAATTTTCGTCAGCGAATGTTCATTGTTGTTATACAAAAACGCAGGGAACTACAGCAAGGGAACTACTTTTGCGATGCTGTAAAAAACCTGATGCTGATTCTCATGCTCGTGCAATCAACCTCGCATTTGGGGTGCCAACGCAGGTACCGCTCCGCCCGCGTGGAGTATGTCTGGCAGCTGGTATCAGGAACGGGCGAGAATATGGGTCTGGAGGTGTCGGAGTTTGGGACAGCAGCAGCGGCAGCGGCTGCGGGGACCTCGCCGACCGCGTCAAAAGCAAGCGACGACGACGACAACGAGGAGGAGGAGGCACACAGCATGGGGGATGGTGATGCGGATGTTGAAGGCCGGGGCCCGCATCCCTCGCTGCCCCCGGAAGCCGTCATCGGCATCCAGCTGGCGGCGCTCGCGTAAGTCCCATCGTTTTTTAGGAATTGAACATGTGATGTGATTTTCCTTCCCTCGCTTTGGGTCCTCCAAACGTAGTGTATGTTTCGAGAAACACAAACAAACGTTTCAAAACAAAAGTTTCGTTTTTGAGCACACATAATTCTACGGCTTGCGCCTTTTGCCAGGAAGGCGAAAAAGATTGTATTTTTATTTGTTAATGTTCATTAGTATTGGGCGATAAGAAAAGAAAAAGCAAGTAAAGCGTGAAGTCCTGATATCGTGCGCGATGTACAAAAGGCTGATGTGCGATATGACGCGGCGAATAATGGTCGCAGGTGCGAGGACATTTCCCGAGTGTTCGCGTTCGCATCGCCGGCCAATAAAGCAGTAACGGGTCCACTGGAGCGATTCACGATGCTGCTGCTCCGAGACCCCAAGTACCGACCGCTAGTGCGCCACCGTGTCGCGGAGCAGGTTGACCTCGGCTCGTTGCGGCCAGGGATTCATCGCGCCGTGGTCAAGGTCGTGAGCACGAACACAGGTAATAAGAATGGCATTTTTGGGGGTCGTGCTGATCGGGTTGGGTCCTGTGCGTGTTCGAAACATCGGTCCTGTTTTGGCTTTTGTTTTGGTTCCGAGGTTGCTTGGGGGCGCGCTTTTGCTGCTCAGATAATGAGAACTTGAGATAACAGTGTTTGCGAACCAAACTAATAAGATTCGCTACTACTTGGCGTTGCTGCAGTGGTAAAGTATCAATAAATAAATTAAATTTAAATTTAAAATTATTGCCGTTGTGCACTTGTGTTGTAGATCCCGGGGGATGAGGTGCCTTAGTGTTTATAATAGCAGCCCCCTAAACCGCTTGACGAGGGGCGCCGCCGCCGGCGTGTCTTTTTTAATAAGAATAATGTGTTGGCGCGCATCTTCTGCTGCTGTGGCGCCCAACGCTTTTGCTTGCGTCTTCGTCGTTGCCTGCCGGTTCTTGTTACCCACTGCACTCGTACTCGCACGTGTTCGTAGCAGTGGTAAGTGGTATTACCGCGCGAGAAGATAGACCCCCCAGATAGACCCCGCAAGGGAACATGTATATACCCCGGCAGCATGGTGGTAGGGGGGCCATCGAGGGCCACAACGGACTGTCGTACACTGGGAAAGCTAGGATGGAAACACACACGTTCGTGTTCATATGTTTGTGCCTTTTGCTGCGCTCAGGTATGCCCCAAGAAGTCGAGATGATGTTTTACTGGGTGCTCAGTCGGCAAGGTCCGGACGCCGGGCCACAGGCAAACTGTTGGATGACAGATTCAGTAGAGCTTGTACATGCTAGGACGCTTAAATGATAAATAAAAAGATTCCTCAAGATGATTTGTGATATGGTTGATAATAATTTCGATATTTTATAAGAAAAAATATTTATGAAAAATAATGATGAGACGATGTAGGGTTTGCAAAAACCGAGGATCCAAAAATCACCGTGCTGAGGGGCGGTGCTCACCATGCACGTCACGGCTGTCATCTTAAAAAAAGAACATCGCTGTGAGGTCGTATGCCTAAAGGGTTTTCGTTGGCTGCGGCATGCTTTTTGCCTCTGGTAGGGCTCCTCGGCTTCTGTTTCACTTGGCATGATGAGCGCAAACATGGACATGCCGGATGAGGGTGCTACATCATGCAACATCGTACAGCATCGCACTTGTACGGCAGGACAATGGCATATATGTATGTCCGAGTGTGCGTGCTGCATTGTTGTAACCATATACCCCCCAACGGACCATGGGAGTGGGCTTGGGGCAGCTGAAGCCGTTAAGAGCCTCCAAGTCCAGCCATCGCGCGAGGAGAAGTAGCGCCGTTGTTGTTGCTTTTGTTTTTGTTAGGCTGCGCATGGAGAATATCCCTGCATCCTGTGGCCTTGAGAGCATTTGATATATACAATATGTACAGCAGAGCGAGCTTCAGTGTACGGCGGTTGGCCGTACGGCAGTGGTACAGCACAACACAATGCTTGGGATGGCAAACACGACGGACATCCTGAACGGTGCTTACACCCGTGTTATGGAAAATTGCTCTTACGTGTCTGGACCGGACGGATGGACATGAGGCAACTTTCTTATCGCATATACAGGGCATGCAACGGTATGTGTTAACCATGGAAGGCAACATTTTTCTTTCTAGTTGGTCACCAGGTCATAGTGATTTATTCCTTTGTGTTCAGTTCTTAAACTCATGCACGCCCGTACCGGAAAAGTGCTTTCCGATACGGCGGTGTCAGGAGGTGGTATCTACGTCGTCTTAGGGGCAACCCTAAGACCAAGGGGATGAACGAATAGATATAATCTCTGTTTCTTGGCTGCAGCAAGTGTTGTCCTGGGCACAACGTTGATGGCCTGATGCCGACGCGACCTCCTATACGACAATGCCAGGCAAACGCAGCGGATGTTCAGGAATTACTTAGGCGTTCATATTACTCGTCACTGCTTCAACGGCACTGGACTGGGCGGATGTAAGACGTGCGTTGGTGGACGCGATGGCCTTACGGAAGGGGAGAAAGACGCTTAGGAGATGCTTGGATTGTTATGTGCAAGTCACGGACGGGGACGTTTAACTCTCTGAATGCTGAATTTTAGCTACTAGTCGGGTTCTGAACTTCGCCTGTTGTTGGTTCCGCCCGTACAGGAAAAGTGTCTTCCGATACGGCGGTCACAGCAGGTGGTATCCACGTCGACTTGTAGGCAAACCAAATACAACCAGGGGATGATATGACAGTTCTGGAGTGCATGTTTCTTGGCCGCAAGCAGCAGCAAACTTAAATCGCGTTGGGCCATTTGCCCAGGCTGCTGCATGGACGACAAGTCAGGCTAATGCAGCTGATGTCCATGAAGGGTTCATTACGTGCTGAATATGAAAGATTGCTACGAAGACTCTGGCCCTGACGGATGTGCATTGTAAGGAAGGAAACGGATGCAGAGTTAGCACCGCGGCGCATGGAACGCTAAGTAAGGATGATGGACTGTAAGCGTTAATATTCGGAGCAGGGATTTCTGTCTTTTCGCTCGGTTCTGAAAGTCTAACGTCGCTTGCGCACCCCGTTTGTTCGGGGAACGTACTTAGATCTGATACGGCTCACCGGATTAGGAATAATGCTTTCTATGCTTGCATAGCCATTTTGCAAACACAGACCATTATGCCAAATCTTTGCTGTAATGCATATGCCTCTGGCCCAGATGACATGGCATGTGCAACATGTGAAATAGACTCTGCTGCCCTGCTGCAGTGCACTTCAATCCTTTATTTGTACATAATATTCGTGTAATATGAAAGGTGACTTCTTGCCAGAAGGGTAACGATCGGAGACATACTTATGGCATCCCATGGATTATGCGGCATGTATCCGCATCATTTGTTCTGTGTAATAGAATTTGTGTATTAGAAAATTCTCGAAAAGCTATCCTGCTGGTATTTCACGGCTGGACTTCCAGTGCTCCATCCGTACCCAGTGCGGGGCCCGCCCGTCGCCTGCGTAGCTTCGCAAACATTCCTCGTTCACCGGCAGGCGCTCTAAGTGCTACGAAGGTCGTAACACATCCACCTTCAGAAGAATAGCATGTAGACGTGTTGTTGGACTGCCGCTGAAGAAAATCTTAAACAAGCGGACCTTCGTCGAACTCTCGACCAACAGAAACTGTCATGTCGCGAAGGCGCTTGTCTCAATAACCACTTGTTAACACGTGTCATTAGCTCACTGTTAAAAAATAATTCTCATTTCGCTTCCGACCACCTTTCAACTATACCACGTTTGCCACCGCCGCCGCCATGGAGCCAGCAGTGGAATTATTTACCCGCTTAATTACGGCCGCGCTGGCAGGGATTAGGAATTGGCGACAGAATCAGAATGTGGCGAAGATGCTCGTCTTCAAGCTTGCCTGCTTCCTTGCCTCCCTTCCTTCACATCCACGGGTGAAACTCGTCTTTCAAAGGCATCACGGTCTGGCACCAGTCGATGCGTCCCCAACAAGCATATATGATATGAAATTCACAGATGGAAACGGCAAAGTAAGGACGCTGCTCGTCTTTTTGCTGTCATGAAGCCCGTGACGGGAGACACCTCATATAGGCTACTCCCTTTGAAATGTTGCCTGCAGGTCACTGTGCTGGGGCACCTGTTGGGCCTCACGAAGAAATCGGACCGAGAAAAATTTAACAGGCTTCTCCACGACGGCGGCAGATTGTACGTCCTCGACGAGATCCATGGGTTGAATCTTCCCTCACAAGCTGTGATTGAGGAGGCCTGGAAGCGTGCTGATGCAGCTGCTCCCCCCAATGACAGCGACCTCATTGGAAAAGTTCAATGCCTACAGTTCGATGTGCGCAAGCCCCCCCCGCCTTTCTACAACTTTCATTGGCCGCAGGCAGCCTGGGCCAGATTTGCAAATGAGCAGCAGAAGGTGAGTCATCACCATTACCACACTGTACAACACCATACAAACTGCAAGTCCAAGTCAGTTTGATCCTGCTGACCCCTCCTCACGTCATCCAGTCAAGTCATCCACTCCATTTCGGTCCATGAACTGTCACCTCCACTCCATATCTCTTGGGCTACCTAGCCATAATCTCACGCCCCCGACATTGTTGGGGATGTAACCAGGAATCGGACCCAGGATCTTACGTCGTAATGTCTCTAGACCAGGCCATCATTATGATCCCTACTGCACCATTTAAAAGGAAGCACGGTTTAACATCTTCTTTATGTCTGATTATATATAGGAGCTGAACGAGGCCAACACAACAACTGCCAGCAAGGCTACGAACAGCCAGTTCAGAACCTTGGCCGGCGAAGGTGCCATTCCAGTGGAGGTGCCTCTGCAGCCTCGCACTGAAGGCCAAAATGCGACCACCGGGAAGCAGGCAGTGAACCTGGTAAGTGTTTGGTTTGGGTGTGGGCCAGGGATGCAAACATGCTTGGCTCGCGCATGTTACTTCATTTACTTCATTTACATGTAGTGAAGGCCACGTCTTCAGTAATGAAGGCAGGGCATTGAATTCATCCAGTGTGCACACAAACAAACCTGCCATTCACTCCCGCAAACAGGCAGGGTGGGGTCACAAGATGTGTGTGTGGTGCGTGCATGCACCTTGTGGATATGTAAGGATGATGGCCTGTGAGATGCTATTAGAGATGTCCTGGTTTGGGTGATGACTACAGGGGTTTACAACAACCCATGTTGTAAAAAGGTTCAGCTCCCTTGGCATCTCCCTGACTACGCTTTGCCTGGTTTTACACATATTCAGTACATGAAATCCTTGCAGTTTTTGGCCATTATGTTGGTGTGGTGCTGCTACACAGCCACTTATCTCTTTGCTTACTAGGCCCTGCTCTCCCTGTGCTGTGTGCCCTCAGCAGACGCCTTGTGATGTACCACGAAACAGCACCAAGCCTTGTATCCATCTTGATGCCGACTCGGCGGATCACACAGAATCAGTCAGCATGGCTGAAGCAGGTCCTTCCTCTGCAGTACCAGTGGCCGTGCAGAAGAAGCCTGTCCTCAAGTGCTCGTACCCTCCCATGGGTGCTTGCACAAACAGCTTGCAGATCTGCACCACAGACCTTCAACATCTTGGAAAAAGCGAGCTCCTGAATGACACATGCATCGACTTTGGCACGAGGTTAGAATTTCAGGGGCAGGTGGCTGGCAAATAGGGGGTCAATATCTTAAGGACATGCCGGATGTGTGATATGATGGGAGGACGGAGAGGGTCACATCCCTCATTGCACTGCTGCCGAGTGTTGCTCCACGAGAGCTCTCGAGGATAATGACGCTTGCTTGCATGCATGGTGCAGCAACCTAAACAGCTATGTTTCCATGGCGGTTGTAAATGCGCAAAGTGCTGCAGGTTGCCCTGGAGCAAGTGCTGAAGCCTTTCAAGCAAGCTAGTTACGGGTAAGAGTTCTGATAACTGATTTAATACCAAAAAATTACCTTCTAATTCGTGCCAATCGCATGGAAATGAAGTTCTTTCTGCTGCTTGTTGTTGTAATCCTGCTGCCTCAAGAAAGAGCTTCAGACGGGCTTGATGGGCGATCTAAAACATGAGAGATGGAGAGAATTAGCTATCTATCCCCACTATAGTGCCCATGTGAAGCGCAAACCTGAACCCAAACGCCATATAGCAGTGCAGATATTAGCTGTGCTTAAAAACCATAGCATGTTGTGAATGTTCACTGCCCACTGCCTTTCTTTGTGAGCAGGACAATGACCATGCATGATAGCAAGGGGAAGGCCCACGAGTGCAGGCTGGCGCTCGGAGCGTTCATTGCAGATCTGCAGGAACAGTGGGAAGCCCTTGGCCTGCGTTACTTTAGAGATGTGTCCACACTGGCCACGAAGGATGACATGATCAGCCTGGATTCTGATCCACCTCTGCGCCATGAGGAAGACATGAAGGTGATGTGTAACACCAGGCCAAGAGTACACAGTTGGGAGATGCTCTTGGTTGGGGAGGTAACAGCAGGCAGCAAACACTACTGGTGTAACACAATACCTTCGTCGAGCAAGGTATATGTATTGCTGGCAGGGGATGTCACCCTGAAGCAACGGAACGAGGTCGGATTTGTGGGCGAGGAGGTTGCGTTATGGGGCTTTGCAAATACCGACATTTACCAGTGTACCCGTGGACACACTTCACCAGGGCTTCAACGGTATCTCGATGCATCTCATAGAGGCTTTAAAGGCATGTATAGAGGATAAGTGCAAGCAACAGAAGGAGAGAGTGAACTTGAAGATCAAGGGACGGCTTGCCTCATATCGGTGTTTGCAAGACCGACCATGAGGGCCCCTACTGCTCTGGACCCGCGGGTAAGGCCCTTCGAAAACTAGTACTGGCTGGAACCAGGAAGTCGCCCCAGTATACAAGCAAAGCAGACATGCCCCAACAATGAACTATCCAACAAAGGATTTAGTCAGTCAACGTATGGAACGGGCCCCAAGCAATTTCTGTCGATTTGCATAGTAATGTGCCACTCCCATTACCTATTACTTCACCAATACGTCCCTGTGCACAACATTCATTCGGTTATCCATCAGCCATACCATCAGCTGTACCTTCATTGAGAAGCCCCGCCCAGGCCACGGTCCGACCATTCGAGGGCCTGGGCGACCATGCCCACCAGTCCCCACGATTTGCCCTCCACTCCACCAATGTGTTACTAACGATTGCCCCTCAAGAGCAAGCCACAAGGGATTCAGAGGTCTTGCAGTGCTAATATTAATGTGCTGCTACCGTGACCTCGCCCATGGGGTCTGTGGCTGCAGGGCCTCCCAGCCAGCCACCCGCATGAAGCTGTAGCTTCTTGAAAGAACACACAGGGCGCCCGCTTATGGGGGTGTGGCAAGATGTGCACCCGGCAAGGCGCAACATCCTCAGCCAGGTAGTAACGAGAGCCTGTGTTGGACACACTGGCAGCCCTGGCGTCCACCAAGGGGACATTCATGAACTGGTCGACCGCAACTTCGGCATCACTGTTGTTCCCCAGCAGGGGAGCATGCCATTCGACCTCCAGCACCACATCGAACTTATCCCTGTTCAATGGCGACCTGTAGCGGTACAAGCCCAGCACCTTCCCTGCCCACATTTTGTCGCTGGAGTTGCATCTCCGGGTGATGAACCAGCAGGCCTGTGATGTCTTAGGCTTGTTGCTATCGAATGCAGTGAGTTCCACATTGTTGTTGAGCTTGATGGCCACGAGCTTCTCCAGGAACCTGCCTGCGAGATGTATACCACTGACCGGCTTTGACCCCAACAGCAAACCCGGCTGCACCCACACATCTTGGCACCACAGCTCACTGAGGCAGCACTTGGCAAGCACCTACAGATGCAGGCAAGAGGCACACCAGCAGATAGGTACGGCACGGTCGCTCAAGGTGGTGAGTGTATTTACCAAGTTGTAGCGATGAAGACAGGCATGCATCACAGGGCAGTCACACCAGGTTTCACACCTTGTTCCGCATGGACACAGAGCCATGGCTGTCCCGGTGCAACAGCATCCTTCTTGAATGGGTCCTTAGCCTCAGGTGTGAAAGATAGTCGGACAGGAATGGCCCCGGGGTCGTGTCATCAGTCCACTGCTCCCACAGCCAGGCGGTGAAAACACCAAATAAATCAGAGTAGTCAGTGCTGTGGCGCAGGTAAGTCTCATGCATCTCCAGGAGGAAGCCTTCCGGAAGGGTCTCACGCCGTGCCTGCTTAAATCCTATTGCAGCGTTTCCGGAGATAGTGTCAACGCTGGGGCCGGTGGAATTAGTGACCGTCCAATATGCCTTCTGCTGATGGGTCAACTTTCCAGCGGACACGGCGTCCTGTGGGGGTTCAAAAGTGCAGAGGCCCTCGGGTAACCTCTCAGCAGCTAGAATCACTGACTCCTTATGTATCTAGCTGCGCATACAGGTAGCCTCGGGGTACTGCTTGTTCTTCATCAGCTTCACCAAATGGTTCCACAGTGATTCGTAGCCCCACATCGTGGTTGTGAAACTTGGCCCAAGGTGTTCAATTCACTCCGCGAGGTGCAGCAGCTGATGCAACTTCATGTCTAGTTCGCAGGAAGGCAGGTGAATCTCCATCAGTGTCACGGCACGAGCGACACCATGGAGGATTGGCAAGCAGTCCTCCCGCGGCACGGCCTTGTCCATCAGGAAGGACACGCTGCAAAGCAGCTGCAGCATCACCTCAAGCTGAGGAGAACCGATTCCAGTGGCGTGGCCAAAGATGTAGGCTCCATATGGGCTAGCAAGAAAGCACCATGTGTGCATCTTCACACTCTTTCCGGGCTTGAAGAGGCTGTGCAGGCGTGATCCGCCACCGTCCCTTGAGGGGATGACTGCTGCCACCAATCCCACAGCTGAGGCCATCCGATCAACGCTGGGTGTCAACCATGGCGTCCCCTCCCATGTCCGTCTGTTGACGTTGAGCTCATGCCAGCAAGAGTGATGTGCACAGCCGGCAAATGAATTTTGTTAAGGTAGCCTTGCTGTGTCACCCAACCGACGGTCTCACTTCACTGCACTGCAAAGCAACTCACGGTTCTGGACATACTCACTGGTGGACGGCATCAGTCACCCAGGCGCCACCCATGGCAAGCTTGAAAAGATCACGCGAGCTGTTGGCTAGCGTATGCATGGGGTCGTAGTGGAGGCCCAGGTCCGTGTTGAAGTGGTCGAGGTCCAACAGGGCAAGGTGGTGCAGCGCCTGCGTGACAAAGGCGATTGCAGACGTGAATGCTGCGGGAGTTGTCTGGTGCAGGGTTATAGTGCATAATGACAGGAACACTGGATACTGGTAGGTCCGCCACCCATTCTTTCCCTCCATTGTAACACCCCATACTTACTGGCGCAGATTCCACCTCGCCACCATGGGTGGGCACCTGCATTGGCAGTGTCCAAAGTTATTTACATGTGTTATCCTGTGCACAGTAATGCACAACAAACATTGGTCCCTACCGGAGTCATGGCCACGAGCTCCACCTTTGTCCGTACTGCTGGCCGAGGCTCATTGGCTATCCTTGTGATAGACTGTCCTGTGGCATCTGTGATGGGGTTCAGCACACTGGCAGGCCGCCTAATCGGGTCGTCACCGTCCAGCCACGTCCATGCTCCGGGATAGTTGTACTTGTGGACACCCTTGCTGCCAGCTGTCCAGCACTTATAGCAGCCATGTTTTACTCGTGGCACCCCTGACATTCGCAGCATGTCCTCGATGGCCCGGTAATCCCCACCGGCCGTGAGAAGTCTAACCCTGACACTGATGTAGGACTCCGTGTGTGCATCGAAAGTATCCACCCCGCACTCTGCCAGGCTTTCCAGCTCCCTGGACAGGAGCTTCAACATGCACCCAACACGCGGCCTCTCCCCCTCATCCTTCTTTCGTGAACCTGGCAGGATGCCAAGGACCGTTGTCGCACCGTGGGTGTACCTGAACCCAAGTTGGACAGACAGGGTTGGCAATGCAATTGGATGGATGTGCATGGCCCTACTGGGGGATCCACTGATGACAGTGCCCCACCTTATGTCTGGGCTGAAATTGTATGCTGTGATGGCGACGGGGTACAGACTGTAACTAGCATCGTCCTTGTATGTCTGGACTCCATCAGTGAAGACACCGAGGAGGATGTCCGTGTCACGCAGGGGAGGCTGTCCGCCTTGTTCAGATTCCTTCATGACAATGTAAGCCTTGCCGTCTGTGATGTCACAGATGAACCTGTCTGGCAACCCACGTTCGGCAGCAGATTTCGCATGATGCCTGATTTCCTTGGAGTAGTGCTTCGAAGCAAAAAGCCTCCGAATGTAGTCCGTGACACTTCTGCCCCAGAGGCTCCCCCACCTGCTGCCTTACCGTGCATGGAAACCGTGGGCTGGCAATGGCTGCTGGTCCTGCAGCTGACGGGGATGGCAAAGCAGCCGCCTCACCACCACGGGCATCCTCAGGCGCCGGCGGTGGCAGCTGCACAGAAGCAGAGGCGCCCCCCTCCTGCAGGCCACGTCGCACGGAGTGATGCACAGGAGGCACGACGGGTTCACCAGGTTGGTCAACGGGCAGTGTCATGCAGTGCACCCATTGTGTGCTCTGTGGTGCACCCTCCCTCACACGGACCGACCCCGCCCCTCAGGCTCCCCCACCTGCTGTCTTACCGTGCATGGAAACCGTGGGCCGGCAATGGCAGCTCGTTCTGCAGATGACGGGGATGGCAAAGCAGCCGCCTCACCACCACGGGCATCCTCAGGCGCCAGCGGTGGCAGCTGCACAGTAGCAGAGGCGCCCCCCTCCTGCAGGCCACGTCGCACGGAGTGATGCACAGGAGGCACGACGGGTTCACCAGGTTGGTCAACGGGCAGTGTCATGCAGTGCACCCATTGTGTGCTCTGTGGTGCACCCTCCCTCACACGGACCGACCCCGCCCCTCAGGCTCCCCCACCTGCTGTCTTACCATGCACGGAAACCGTGGGCTGGGCATGGCTGCTGGTCCTGCAGCTGACGGGGATGGCAAAGCAGCCGCCTCACCACCACGGGCATCCTCAGGCGCCTGCAGTGGCAGCTGCACAGTAGCAGAGGCGCCCCCCTCCTGCAGGCCGCATTGCATGGAGTGATGCACAGGAGGCACGATGGGTTCACCAGGTTGGTCAACGGGCAGTGGCATGCGGTGCACCCGTTGTGTGCGTACCCTCCCTCACACGGACCGACCCCGCCCCGGAGGCTCCCCCACCTGCTGTCTTACCGTGCACGGAAACCGTGGGCTGGGCATGGCAGCTCGTCCTGCAGCCGACGGGGATGGCACAGCAGCCGCCTCACCGCCACGGGCATCCTCCTCCTGCAGGCCGCGTCACACAGAGTGATGCACAGGAGGCATGACAGGTTTGCCAGGTTGGTCGACGGGCAGTCATGGCAGCGGGAAGCAGACTTGCACCGAAGCCCTGGTGTACCGGAGTACTGAACACAGCAAGCAAGTGCATCTGAGGATGCCCCCCTTCGTGCCATCCCCAGCCGACACACTCCACCCCGTCGTGCTGCTCCTGTGGAGTGTCATGTGGTGCACCCGTTGCATGCTCTGTGGTACACCGGTGTACCCTCAATTATGTGGACCGACCCCACCCCTCAGGCCTGCCCACCTGCTGTCCTGCCATGCATGGATACCATGGAGTGGCATCATCTGTATCATTGTGTCCCCTGTCCATCTCCCGTTGCTGCTCCTCATCGTCCGCCACCAGCCGGGTCATGTTTGGGGCCCGCTTTCTCTTCCTGGTCTCGTTGCACACACCAAAGCCTCGATGAACCAGCTCCTCTGACTGCAGGAGCAGCGACAGGGGACGGACGGGGGTCAGGGAGACTGCACGACACTCAAGGTGCGACTCTGCTCCCCCCTGCCATGCATGAGCTTGGTCTTGATCTCACCCATAATCCTACCTGTTCGCCTGCTTCTGAAGGGGCCAGCCCATTGCTCTGGCCAGCACCAGAGACCTCTGTGCCATCCTCGGACACCCCATACTCGCCAGCATCACCAGTGCCGCCATGCTTCACCGGGTCCACCATGGCAGCATCACCTCCCTGGGTGGATGGTGACAGGCAAGAAGACTGTGCGTGTGTGTGATGGGTGGGGGAAGGATGGAAGGCCGCGGGCCGGCGACAGGGCAGTGGTACATACCTCAGCTCCCCCGGAGGTCACCACCTCCTCACCAGCCTTCAAAGCTTCTTCATTCCCCTGTGACATACACAATCTGTTTGTAAAGGTGCCCATGCATATCGCTCCCCGCCCAGCCCTGGAGCTGGAAACCCACCGTTGTCATGGTCCTGTCAGCCGCGCTGGCTGCCTGTGATGTGATGACACTGGCGGCACAGAGGTGAAGCGCAAAGCTTGAAGTGGCATGCTCAGACAAAGCCGTGCTGCGTGCAGGGACCCCTGGCATGGTACACAACCCGCTGCTGTGCTCAGGGAGGCTACGGATGTACCTCTTCAGGCTCTCCTCCTTGGCACCACTACCAAGCATTCCGACAAGCGTCCTCTCCACCTGTGAGGACGGAGACAATCTGTTTGCGCGCCGAACACTTCTCAGCAACAACCTGGCACAGTATTCACCTCATTGCCAGCCGAGAATCTCATTGATACGAGATCGTCTGGCTTGCTGCGCCTTGGCACTGTAGCAACCCACTCAATGCCATCGACAATAACTATGAAGGTTTCTCCGGTGCGGCACTAGGCACGCAAAGTTAAACACTTCACGTTTAAGGTGTTGGCCTATTTGTCTCTTCTGTAAGTACAGGTCGCGTATCTGCATAAAGGTACCAGATGGTGCCATTTTCACAGCAATCACATAGTGCTAAACCCAGTGACGTTTCTTATTGGTGCTGCAAATTGTCCAAATGTTCACATGACTTCTGGGCAGCAAGAGGTGAAATGCCGTGCAATTCCGGACCCTGGTCCGGAAGTGTACGGCATCTTGAAAATTATGCTGAATCCTGGTCTTAACTTCGCAGAATTGGACAGTACCAACGAATCGAAGCCGATGTGCTCATATTTTGTAGATGACATCCAGGCAGAATAGTCCAAATAGCGGACAGGGGTCCTCGAGGTCTGTGTCCCCAGAACGGTCGTTGAGGAACACACTTGAAGAAGAGAGAGCTCTCATCATCCAGAGGAATTTAAAGAAGCTAGCAAGCCTTGGACTACAGGTCGCCAGGCCTTCAAGCAAGCCTCCATCTCGTCTGCCAAAACAGCGCTCACAACGAGGAGCTGAAGAAGGACACCCTCGACAATCAGCACGTATTGCTACTATGCATGCTGCGACAAAGAGGAAAGCCGCTGCCGCCGAGGGTGCAGTCCGCAATAAGGTATGACCGGGTCCAGATCGGGTCAAACCATTCATTTCCCTTCATACGGTTACCGCAGACCATTTCTCTCATTCCAATTTTCCAAATTATACTGTTTGACGCGATCTGGGTTACAAGTGTTTCTCTTAGGTTCATGTTTGCAATCACGTGCATTTTCACGGGATGCCTTGCTCCATGTCAATGTCGGCAAATAAAATGAATGCATGCAAAGGCAACAGATATCTGGGATCGATCCCAACCCATTTCCTCCTTGCAGTGCAGAAAAAACGGCCCAGGACCGACGATGATGCAGCCATAGAAGCTGCTGTGGAGGTCGCACCTGACCCTGACACCTACCTCAGCATCTTCACCGATGCATAAAAACAGCATGCTAATTCACACGGCCTTATGCTGAACAATGAGGCCGGCCGTGTCCTGGCGGCCATCCTTAGCTGGCCATCCCAGTACACCCTGTCTGCAAGCAACGAGGGTACTTTCCTTCGTGCCTACGAGGTCTGTGAGAAGCTCTGCGACGTGGGCGGTCTATGTGGGGAGGACTTCACCGATCCAAGGCGGCAGGCTGCCACGGTGTTCACAGATCAACTTGTGACCGTCCTGAAGGAGGGGCCCAAGCCGCTCAAGCCTGTGGAGCTTCAGCGCCTCTCCGCCGGCCTGGCAGCTATGTGCGGGGGTGGCAGGGGTCGTGCAAAGAAGCCCAAGCGGTCCAGCATGCGCTGCTGCAGGACCAGCACCACCCCTACAGACCGCATTCTTGATGACTTCCGGGATGACTTCCTTGCTACGAGCATCTTCGAAAACATCAAGGTGGGTGTGTGGGTGGGGTTTCATGGTGTACAATCTATTCCTATCCACTGGCTGATTGACATTCTTCATCGAACAAGCACCATGTCCTAGAGGGAGAAACCAGATATCCACACCACAGTGCATGCCGCCAGATCTAGCGCAGATCTACACCACAGTGCATTGTTGTTTGTGCTTTTGCAGAACTTGAAGCCGTGCCTGGCAAAGATCGTTGCAGACTTTGGGGGGGTTGATAAAGTTGCTTCTCTGGTGGGCATGAAGAGGCACGAAAAGGTCACGGAGGACCTCGTCTTTGATAAGCTGCACGGTGCCACTAAGACCAAGTGGAGGAACACACGGCACCTAAAGAAAGGAGGTGTGATGGGGTTTGAAACAGCTCTGCACCGAGGGCTAAAAATCAAACTATCTCTTTTTATATAAAATGCTATTTCATAATATTTCCTCTTTATTTAAATTGTATATTGGGTCTATTACAACTAGTATAACTAGATCCAATATACAATTTAAATAAAGATTTTCTATAGAGATCTGGTGTACTTTAGTTTGCTAAAATTACACCAGGCAATCTCTGTATTGTTTTCGAGATTATCTCTATATTGTTTAAGTGGACTATAATATAGTCCACATATGGCCAGCAACGTGCTCGGAATTTCTTGCTCTCCTAGGACTTCTGGGTTTGGATATAGGGTTGGCAAAAATACTATATTTATTTTCCCAAATAGTATAGTATAGTAAGAAATAGTACTATATATAGTAATATAGTACTATGATGCTATTACTAGGCAGGTACACGCTCCCTGTAGAAGGGGGGTGTACGACCAACCGTTGTACCTGAAAATTACACCGTTGGAAAGGTCTTCTTTTGTTCTTTCTAAATATCTACTTAGACATGAGAAAGCAGATCGCTGTGGTCATCCAGATCACTTTTTGTTAGTTCAGTGCCCGGTAGGTGGACCCCAAACCCCATGTCTCAAGGCGTGTTATGGCATGCTTGTAACTGCCGCCTGGCCTCTTACCCCCTATGAACATACAGGATGACGAGACCGCTGACGGCTGCACTGATCTCCTGGTGATTGGCCGCGCCATGGCAGTCATCAAGGACCTTGGCACTGTGCACATTCCCCCGACTGGCCAGTCCTTTGCACTAAACGACCGGCCACTCCGCCTCTTCCAGAAGGTAAATCAAGGTTGAGCTGTGATAGCACGTCTGCATCACATGTATTGACTTTGTTCTGGTTGCTTCTGTCTGCAGGTGCGATGGCCCATTGTGGGATTGCTCGCAGTCAAGGGCAAGATGACCGCAGTCCAGTGGGCCATGAGGACCACTGGGCTGAGCAAGAAGCAGTTGGATACGGTGGACTTGGAGTGATACACGCCCTGTTAGGAACCACCTTAGGTGTGGGAAGTGTAGGCAGTGTATGGGGCTGTACTTGGCTATTGGGCTGTCCTGTCCATGCGCCTTGTTGCGAGCCCCTCAGCATAGGCCTTGTGATCGCGTTCAGGGATCCATCATAACACTCATTCATTTGGTATGCTGCAGTACCATATGCAGTTCCAGCATGGATCGAGCGTGTGATTGTAGATATGTTGTAGGTATAAGTGCGGGCATGGTGGACCTGGACCTCATATGTGTGTCTGCCCGAATGGGAAAGTGGTCTGCTGTGAGAATCGGGCTCTAGCGAGATGGTGGCCCTAGGTTTTTGTTGGGCATACCTCTGTTTGAAGGCACCCTTAAGAACGGTTTAAGAATGCTGGGGGACGGAATGCTTGAGAACACTGTAACAACACTTGAGAATGCTGCAAGAATACTTGAGAATGCTGTGAGAACGCTTGAGAATGTTGTAAGAACGCTTGAGAATGCTGTGAGAACGCTATAAGAATGCTGTAAGAATGCTTGAGAATGCTGTAAGAACGCTTAAGAATGGTGAGAGAACGGTGTAAGAACACTGTAAGAACGCTTAAGAATGGTGAGAGAATGCTGTAAGAACGCTTGAGAACGCTGTAAGAACGCTTAAGAATGGTGAGAGAACGCTGTAAGAACGCTTGAGAACACTGTAAGAACGCTTAAGAATGGTGAGAGAACGCTGTAAGAATGCTTGAGAACGCTGTAAGAACGCTTAAGAATGGTGAGAGAATGGTGTAAGAATGCTTGAGAACGCTGTAAGAACGCTTAAGAATGGTGAGAGAACGGTGTAAGAATGCTTGAGAGTGGTGAAAGATTGCTTAAGAATGCGTGAGAAAATGGTTTGAGAATATCCTTGAGAACGGGTAAGATCTCTTGAGATTGCTTAAGAACGCTTGAGAAGGCACAATCTTAAAACATGGCAGATAAGAGCGTTCTCAGAACGCTCTTAACAGCTGCATCAACTTGTGCTTTATATGGCTTAAGATCGCGTTGAGAGTGCTCTTAAAGCGGTTTCATTTTGGTAGGGGTTGCTAGGTCGCCTAATAGGTAACCAAACCCAGAAGTCCTAGGAGAGCAAGAAATTCCGAGCACGTTGCTGGCCATATGTGGACTATATTATAGTCCACTTAAACAATATAGAGATAATCTCGAAAACAATCCCTATGGCAGCTCCCAACACCAACCCATTGTGAAAGTTGCAGTAGTGGCCGATAGTAATGGCAGTTACCTGTGTTGCACCGTTAAAAAACCCCAAGGACCTCGAGGGCCCACGCCGGGTGAGCGTCAACTGCTGGATTGCGGCAATCCAGGAATTGCCTTGGGTGGGTGGAGGGAAAACTAGAGGTCTCGTCAAGGCAACGGCAATTAAAGAACCAATGCGCC